CTATAGACATCCCGACCCCGCGATCCTACGCTGAGGCGATCGCGGGTCCTTACTCCTCTCAGTGGCAGGCAGCCATGGACGCAGAGATGGCATCCTGGAAGTCCACTGGCACTTACGTCGACGAGGTTCCCCCTCCTGGGGCGAACATCGTCAGTGGCATGTGGATTTTCAGGGTGAAGCGGCCGCCGGGTTCTCCGCCTGTCTTCAAGGCTCGTTACGTTGCCCGAGGCTTCAAATAGCGAGAGGGAGTCGACTTCTTTCAGACCTTCTCCCCCACCCCGAAGATGACCACTCTTCGGGTACTGTTGCACGTTGCCGCTCAGTGTGACTACGAGCTTCACTCTCTTGACTTCAGCACAGCTTTCTTGCAGGGCAGTCTGCACGAGGAGATCTGGCTGCGCCGCCCTCCTGGCTTCACTGGGTCGTTTCCTCCTGGTACCCAGTGGAGCCTCCGCCGGCCGGTCTACGGTCTCCGCCAGGCGCCACGAGAGTGGCACGACACACTGAGGACTACACTTGCGGCTCTTGGGTTCGCGCCGTCTACTGCTGACCCGTCGCTGTTTCTGCGCACCGACACTTCGCTGCCGCCGTTCTACATCCTCGTGTACGTCGACGACTTGGTCTTTGCCACTGCTGACACTGAGGCTCTCGCCCACGTGAAGTCCGAACTGCAGAAGAGACACACGTGCACAGACCTTGGTGAGCTGCGCAGCTACCTTGGCTTACAGATCACCCGGGACAGAGCACGCCGCACCATCACACTGACTCAGTCACACATGGTGCAGCAGGTCCTTCAGCGCTTCGGCTTCACCTGGTCCTCAGCACAGGCCACTCCTCTGGCCATAGGTCACTCGCTCTCAGTTGTGCCTTCGGATGAGTCCGTAGAGCCGAGTGGTCCTTACCCAGAGCTAGTTGGTTGCCTCATGTACCTGATGACTTGCACTCGTCCTGACTTAGCGTACCCTCTTGGCCTTCTGGCTCGCTACGTGGCTCCTGGTAGGCACCGAAAGGTGCACTGGGATGCTGCGAAGAGGGTATTGCGCTACTTGTGCAGTACGTCGGGCATAGGGCTCGTGCTTGGAGGAGGGAGCCCAGTTGTTCTCACTGGGCACTCAGACGCATCTTGGGTTGACGACCAGGCTACTCAGCGGTCGTCCCAGGGTTACACCTTCAGTCTTGGCTCTGGCTCAGTTTCTTGGCGTTCTACACGTTCGTCTTCAGTTCTCAGCTCCAGTTGTGAGGCTGAGATCTACGCCACAGCCATGGCTGCTCAGGAGTTACGCTGGCTCACCTACCTGCTGACTGACCTGGGAGAGCGGCCTCGTTCTCCTCCAGTGCTGTACGTTGACAACAAGGCTACCATTGCCTTGTGTGAGGAGCACAGACTGGAGCACAGAACGAAGCACATCGCTCTGCGGTACTTTCTGGCTCGAGAGTTGCAGCAGCGTGGTCAGCTTCGTCTGCATTACGTGGCCACTCAGGCCAACACTGCTGATATATTCACCAAGGCACTCCCGCCTAGTGATCATCAGCGCTTCTGCACTTTGTTGGGGCTTGTGCCCACTTTTCCTCACTTGCTGTAGACTTTGCGTGTACTGTGATCTATATATATATACCTGCATGACGGCTAGATATAGATCACTGTGATGATTGTGTTGCATATATACCTCTGCATGTGAACTAGCCTTGTGGCTCTTTGCTTGTGCTCAGAGTGTGTGGTGACGTTGTGATCCACCCTTGGCTTGTTTGCCTTTCTTGACTGGTCTTGTGACCCCTTGCTCTCCCCCACTTTGCCTATGGGGGTGTGTCAAACATTATTCTTGTGTTGTTGTTGTGTAGGCTACAGTGGGTTAGCCTCTAGGGGGTACACAATTCTAGGGTTTTGTATTTGTACTCCCAACTTCTCATAGTGAACACAACTTCTCATTTTAACACACCCTGTCAAACATTATACATGTTGTAGCTTTGTAGGCTACAGTGGGTTTAGCCTTAGAGGGTACAGAACTCTAGGGTTTCATATTTGTACTCTCATTCCTGTTAGTCATTCTCATTCTCGTTCTAAGTTTCACATGGTATAGAGCAGGTTCCCTCGTGGGAACTGTTCCTAGGGCCCACCATAACTTTTTTTTCCTGCCCGAAGCGCGCTCGGCCCCTGCCCGAGTCGCGCCCCCCCCCCCCGCCTCTCTTCGCGGCCCCGTAGCGCCGCCCTTTAGGCCCCGGCGCCGCCTCTGCTGGCCCCGCGGCCCTACCCTCGCGACCCCGCGGCCCCACCCTCGTGTGGCCCTGCGCGGCGTCGTTACAGCCGCCCGCGACCCCGACGCCGCCCGTCGCGGCCCCGTCACCCCTTGCGCCGCCCGCGACCTCGTTGCAGCGGCCGCCCGCGACCCTACCGCTGCGGCCGCCCGTGACCCTGGCGTCGCAGCCGCCTGCGACCCTGTCGCCACCGCCGCCAGCGACCCTACCGTCGCTACCGCCCGCGACCCTCCTGTCGCAGCCGGCCGCGACCTCCCCGCCGCAGCCGCCTGCGCTCCCCTCGTCGCAGCCGCTCGCGGCCCCAGTCGTCGCAGCCGCCCGCGACCCCGTCGCCCCACCCGTGCGACCCCACCGCCGCCCTTTGCGGCCCCGTCGCCACACCTTCGCGGCCCCGCCGAGCAGCCGAGCCGCCGAGACCCTGCCACAGCCGAGCCGCCGAGCCGCCATTGCCACTGGGCTGCCGGGCTGCCGAGCCGCCACTGCCGCCGTGCTGCCGAGCCGCCGAGACGCCGCCGCCGCTGAGCCGCCGAGCCGCCGAGCCGTCGTTCCTGCTGTCGCGGCCCTGTTCCTGCCGACGCGCCTCGGTCCTTCTCGCCTGCCCGGTAAGAGCAGCGCCTCCACCACTGCTCTGCCCCTGCCTGCTGCTCTCACTGCTAGTCTACTGCTGTCATGGCTTCCCCCAGTGTCCTCACCTTTGACGCTGAGGGTCGGGCCATTGACTTTGACGTCTGGGTAGATGACCTGCAGCTTTTCCTACTGAGCGACAGAGCAGACGGCCTCTCCCTCTTTGACCTCACTTCTGGTGCCTCTCCTGCCCCTGCTGCTGATGCTGACCCCACTGTTCGCTCCCAGTGGGCCACGCGCGATGCTGCTGCCCGCCTTGCTGTGCGCCGCCACTTGCCGACCGCTGAGCGTGCACACTTTAGCCAGTACAAGAGTGCTAAGACCTTGTACGACGCTGTAGTTGCACGCTACTCTTCCCCTGCCACTGCTGCGCTTAGCCGCCTCATCCTACCGTACCTCTTCCCTGTGTCAGAATATTATGCTCTAGCCTGCAGTGGGGTACTCTATAGCGAGTACAACCCAATTAGGGTTTCCTATATGTATGCCAACTGCTGCTAGTGCAAACTCTCCTTTCTTCATTCTTACTTTCTACAGCTAGTTCTGACATGCTATCAGAGCAGGTCGACCCTCCTGGGTCGATCCTGTGGGTGGGCCCACCACCTAAGCCTTCCGCTGCTACTGCTACTGCTACTGCTACTGCTACTCTGTGTGTCGCACGCCTCGTGGCGTGCGACGGATTTTTCATCCCGCCGTGCGCCCCGAGGTGTGCGGCGGTTTTCTGCCCGCCGTGCGCCCCGAGGCGCGCGGCGGTTCTCTGCCCGCCGTGCGCCCCGAGGCGCGCGGCGGTTTTCTCCCCCCGTCGCCCGCCGAAGCGCCCCCGGGGACCCGCGCGTCGCCCCCGTCGCCCGTGCGCGGCCCGTACTGCACGAGCGCGGCCCGTACTGCACGAGCGCGGCCCGTACAGGCTGCGCCAGGCCCGCGCGCGGCCTGTCCTGCACGCGCGCGGCCCGTACGGGCTGCGCCAGGCCCGCGCGCGGCCCGTACAACCCGCGCGCTGCTCGTACGGGCTGCGCCAGGCCCGCGCGCGGCCCGTACGGCCTGCGCCAGGCCCGCGCGCGGCCCGTACGGGCTGCGCCTGGCCCGCGCGCGCCTCGGGCCGCCTGCGCGCGGTTCGTACGGGCTGCGCCTGGCCCGCGGGCGCCCGGTCTCCTCTCCCACTGAGCTGCACGCCGTCCCTCGCGCTTCTGACGGCGCCCCACCCCTGCTGCTGCCCGTACTCCTGAATTAGGGTTTGGGGGTGGAGCGTATGGGGGTGCCGTCTCTGTCAGCCGTCCCCTGCTCCTCCTCCTCCTCCGTCTCCCACTGCTGCAGCTGCTGCTCAGGGGGGTGGGTGTGTGGGAGCCGAGGGTTTAGGGTTTAAGGGGGGTGCCATGGGAGTGGAGCTAGGGTTTCAGCAGGGGGTGTGTGTTGGGGGGTGTGGGACAGTTGGAGGAGGTTGGGTGGAGGCAGCCGTCGTGTCGTCTGCAGCGCCTGTATTCCGGGGTTCTGATAGCCACCGGTAGCTCAGAGAGCCGGTTGCACCTGTCGCCCGTGGGTCCGTTGCTCCTGTCGCTGCTGATCAGACGCAGAGCCTGTTACTCCTGTATTCCGGGGCCCTTGCTCCCGGTAGCCACTAGAGTTGCACCAGAGCCGTCTGTTGCCCGTGTGTCTGCAGCTTCAGTCGTCGCCTCCACTCTTCTCTCCTCTCGCCAGCCCTCCTCCTCCTCACTTGCCCTCTGTAACTGCCTCTAGCTTTGCTCATAATTGTGCACTTTAAACTATTGCTTCTTAAACTTGTGCTCAGAATGTGTGGTGACATTGTGATCCACCCTGAGCTTGTACTGCTTTGCTTTCTCTGCTGATTACACCCCACTTTGGCTATGGGGGTGTGTCAGAATATTATGCTCTAGCCTGCAGTGGGGTACTCTATAGCGAGTACAACCCAATTAGGGTTTCCTATATGTATGCCAACTGCTGCTAGTGCAAACTCTCCTTTCTTCATTCTTACTTTCTACAGCTAGTTCTGACACCCTGACCTCGCCGCTTTTCCCACTGTCGCTGACCTCATTACGCACCTTCGCACTAGTGACACTCGCTACCGCGCTGCGCTTCCTGCTGAGTTCTGCGCCAAGAACCCCCCCCCCATGTACATCACCCTCTACTACATAGTCACCCGGCTCCCTGACACCCTTCGCCCGGTTAGGGACCACTTCCTCTCTGTTTGCCCCACCACCCTCACCGTTGACCTCCTCGAGGAGCGCCTGCTCGCGGCAGAGAAGAGTATAGTCACAGTAGATGCCTCTCGTGGTGACCCTCGTACCCCTGTCTTTGAGGGGTGCTCCCCCTCTCCCCTCTTGCCCTCTGTTGCCTCTGCTGCTGCGGCCGACCTCGTTGGTCTTGAGTCGGTCGCTGCGGCGTCTGCCCCTAGCGGGAGACGCCGCCCTGGCAAGGGCAAGGGGGGCAAGGGTGCTGGAGGAGCTGGCGGGGGCGGTGGAGGCGGAGGTGGAGGTGGTGGAGGGGGTGGGGGTGGCGGTGGGGGTGGTGGCGGGGGTGGGGGCGTCGGTGGCGGGACTGGAGGTGGAGGTGGAGGCGGCGGTGGCGGTGGGAGCGGAGGTGGCGGAGGTGGCGGTAGTGGAGGAGGTAGCGGCGGAGGCGGCGGAGCTGGTCGGGGTGGCGCTGCGCAGAGGGGTGGCTCCGGTGGTGGTGCGCGCCAGCAGCAGCAGCAGCAGCGTACCCGTGAGACCCCTTCCCCCCAGCAGCTTCGTGAGTGGTACGCTGCTCGTCAGCGGGGCGGGGGTGCTGGCCCCTGTACCTACGTTCTCCGTACCGGCGACCGGGCGGGTGAGCAGTGTGGGGGCGCGCACCCCACCCAGCGCTGCTTCGGTCGTCTGACGGACGCGTGGCGCCACCAGTTCCCCGACGCTACTGAGATCCCTCGCTGGGGCGAGCTGTCTAGGGCGGGTGTTGCAATCTATGATCTTGATTTTGATGCTATTCTTGCTGCCATGTATGCTGTGACTATTAGTGATGAGGGTGACTGTTACCGGTGTTTCCCGCCTGACCCAGGCATAGAGGCTGCTGCGCTAGGTACTTGTGAGGCTGCTGCTCTAGGTGCCAGTGCGTCTGCCGCCCCAGGTGCCGGTGAGTTTGCGCTCTCAGGTGCTGCGTCGTCCCCGGACACCCACACCTTCACCCTTGACTCGGGTGCTTCCCGCTCCTTCTTTCGAGACTGCACCACTCTCACACCGCTCAGTCGGCCTGTTGCGGTCTCCCTGGCGGACCCCTCTGGGGGTCCTGTCCTTGCTCACTACTCCACTGTCCTACCGTGTCCGGCGGTCCCGTCTGGCTCCCTGTCGGGTCTCTACCTCCCCTCGTTCTCTACGAACTCCAGGATGCAGGAGTTGACCAGTTCACCCCTGCGCGTCAGCGGGTGACCCACTGCACTTGTGCGGACACGGGCCGACACTTGGCCACGTTTGCTCGTCGGCCAGGGTCGAGCCTGTACACACTGACTACTGAGTCTCCTCCGGTCCCTGAGTCTGCTTAGGTAGCAGCGTCGGGTCAGGTGTTTGCTGCGGCGTCCAGGTCTGGTCCTGAGTCTGCCCCCTGCTCGTGTCGTCTCCTGTCCCACCGGACTCTCCTCTGGCACCACCGTCTTGGTCACCCCTCCCTGCCTCGTCTTCGAGGCATGGCTTCCCGTCTTCGAGGCATGCTGCTTGCCCCTGAGGGAGACCCGGATGCACTTGACATCCCGACTCCGCGCTCTTACGCGGAGGCGATAGAGGGTCCCTACTCCTCTCAGTGGCAGGCAGCCATGGACGCAGAGATGGCTTCCTGGAAGTCCACAGGCACCTACGTTGACGAGGTTCCCCCGCCTGGGGCGAACATCGTCAGTGGCATGTGGATTTTCAGGGTGAAGCGGCCGCCGGGTTCTCCGCCTGTCTTCAAGGCGCGTTACGTGGCTCGTGGCTTCAGTCAGCGGCAGGGAGTTGACTACTTTCAGACCTTCTCTCCCACCCCGAAGATGACCACTCTTCGGGTACTGCTGCACATAGCCGCTTACCGAGACTACGAGCTGCACTCTCTTGACTTCAGCACTGCTTTCTTGCAGGGCAGCCAGCACGAGGAGATCTGGCTGCGCCGCCCACCTGGCTTCACTGGGACTTTTCCTCCTGGCACCCAGTGGAGCCTCCGGCGGCCAGTCTACGGTCTCCGCCAGGCGCCTCGTGAGTGGCACGACACACTGAGGACGACACTTGCGGCTCTTGGGTTTGCACCTTCTACTGCCGACCCGTCGCTGTTTCTGCGCACCGACACTTCTTTGCCGCCGTTCTACATCCTCATGTACGTCGACGACTTGGTCTTTGCTACAGCTGACACTGCTGGACTTGCCTACGTGAAGTCCGAGCTGCAGAAGAGACACACGTGTACAGACCTGGGTGAACTGCGCAGCTACCTTGGCTTGCAGATCACCCGGGACAGAGCACAGCGCACCATTACCCTAACTCAGTCACACATGGTGCAGCAGGTCCTTCAGCGCTTCGGCTTCACGTACTCCTCGCCTCAGGCCACTCCTCTGCCTACACGCCACTCGCTCTCAGCTCTGCCTTCGGATGAGTCCGTAGAGTCGAGTGGCCCGTACCCAGAGCTTGTCGGCTGCCTCATGCACCTGATGACCTGCACTCGACCTGACCTTGCATACCCTCTTAGCATTCTTGCACGCTATGTTGCTCCTGGGAGACACAGACCAGAGCACATGGCTGCAGCGAAGAGGGTGTTGCGCTACCTGTGCAGTACGTCGGGCATGGGGCTTGTGCTTGGAGGGCAGAGTCCAGTGGTCCTCACTGGTCACGCAGACGCTTCTTGGGCCGACGACCAGGCTACGCAGCGGTCGTCACAAGGTTACACCTTCAGCCTTGGTTCCGGCTCTATTTCGTGGCGGTCTACCCGCTCGTCTTCTGTTCTCGGCTCGAGCTGTGAGGCTGAGATCTACGCAGGGGCCATGGCTGCACAGGAGCTACGCTGGCTCACCTACCTGCTGACTGACCTGGGAGAGCCGCCTCGTTCTCCTCCAGTGCTGTACGTAGACAACAAGGCCATGCTGGCCTTGTGTCGGGAGCACAGACTGGAGCACAGAACGAAGCACATCGCTCTCCGCTACTTCCTTGCTCGTGAGCTGCAGCAGCGTGGTCAGCTGCGCCTTGCTTACGTGGCCTCTGAGGCCAACACTGCTGATATCTTCACCAAGGCACTCGCGCCTTGTGATCATCAGCGCTTCTGTACTCTGTTAGGTCTTGTGCCTACCTTGCCTCACTTGCTTACTTCTTGACCTTGCTTGTACTGTTACATATATATATCTGCCCTTGCTTGTTTAGCATTATATATATGTAATCTTGCATGTGAACTGGCCTTGTGGCCTTGAACTTGTGCTCAGACTGTGTGGTGACGTCGTGATCCACCCTGAGCTTGCTTTGCTTGACTGGTCTTGTGACCCCTTGTTCTCCCCCACTTTGCCTATGGGGGTGTGTCAAACATTATACATGTTGTAGCTTTGTAGGCTACAGTGGGTTTAGCCTTAGAGGGTACAGAACTCTAGGGTTTCATATTTGTACTCTCATTCCTGTTAGTCATTCTCATTCTCGTTCTAAGTTTCACACACTCCCCCCCGCCCCCCTCTAAAAACGCGTCAGGGCAAGTCTCGTCATTCATCCTGACGCTTCAGGGAAGAACACCACAACCATCCTGAATGTCCAGGGCATTTCATATGACAACATCCTGTGACCACAGGGTTAAAATTGACACTATTCTGAAATCACAGGGCAAATTCAAAACTGCATCCTGATTTCAGGGTAATCAGGATGTTTTGCCCTGATAACGTGGGGCCTGAAAAGTATTGCCTTCTTGTGTTGGTCGTGCAGTTTTTTTTGTATATTTTTTCATATAGTGAACCTTTGTACCGTATTCCCCCGGGGGGGGGGGGGGGGTTGTCACCGGAAAAAGCTACATTGCACTCGGGTCTATACATACTGTATTTTTTTTTATAGCATAAAAGGTTGAGAACAAAATGTACATGTTTCATGTGGTGGTAGATTGTTGGTTGGGTGCGCAAAACCGAGGACTGGGCGATAACGTTACTGTCGAGAGTTAGCTGCCACATTGCAAGCTCCAACAAGGCCCACTGTCAGGCCCTGATTGGTCGAAAACACACCCCCTCGTCGCTCGACGAGGGTTCATGCACTCACAAAGGCGGAACGCCCGCAACAGCCTCAGCTGCCTCGCTGGGACGAGGAGTAGGAGGATTGTTTGATTATTTGTGTAGGTAGAGAGCGTTCGGTCTGGATGGTAGTAGGCCCCTGTTGAATGAAGGAATGACTCTATGATGGGAGAGTTATCGCTGTATTGCGTCAGACGTAGCTTGTTTGTGCTGACCTTAACATGTAGATGGTTAATCATTCGAAACCCAGTGCTATTTTGGCAAAAAATGCAATATTACCCATACATAACAACCCCCCCCCCCCCCGGGTGCTATACCGGATCGCCCCAAAAGGGGGGTATAGTAGAAACGAGGCCCGCTATAGCACCCCCCCCGCACAAGCCACCCGGGGGGTGCTCTATTTCGGCGGGTGGTATGTCCGGGGGAATACGGTACATGAAATGTAATTCACACTCAAAAGGGCTAGAATTCAGCTTTTGCAACCATTACACTAGGGGCAAAAAAAATATATCACATCAGTCAGTTGTACAAACATATGAGGTGTTGGGCTGAGAAAGCCCTTAGGATCTTTGCAAGGGTGGACTCTGGATGGAGATGTAATAGCGGAAGCGTTTAATGAAGAGGTTTGAACCACCTTGCGCTGGTATGTGAGGGCAAAGTATGCTGATTAAAGCAAGCAAGTACAAAGATTTATATAAGAGTACAAGGAATATGAAGAGATACGACTGATAACTATTTTTGCTGTTGCGGGTCGATACAGTGCGACTCGAGCAACTGCTCAATATCGAGTCAGTTGTGTGTCCTTGCTGTCGCGCTGCATTTGTCAGGTCAAAGGTCGCTGACCTTTGACTTTCGCGTAACCTCCAACAGTTACTTTCAACCTCCGAGGGTTGACTCATGGGTGTTTCATTATGATTTACTTCGCTTCTGGTGCGGTGTTTCGACACGACAGAGGCGCTTACGACTTGTTGTTTCCAACACTCCCCTTCGCTTCTGGAGTGTCGTTGCTGATGACGTGGCTCTGTCCAGTCAGCAGCATGCAGTACTCGAATTTCTGGTTTTCTCGAATTTCTGCCATCTCTGACGTGGGACAATATGACAACTCGAGTCTCCCCTTCTCGATCTCGTCCTTTACGAAGAAATAGCGTAGGGCGATGTGTTTCGTCCTGTTCGCGAAGCCGTTTTTGTTGGCGATGCGAATTGCCGACTGGTTGTCGCAGAACAGGGTGAAGTTGGGTAACTCGGCTAATTTCGCTTCTTCGCGAAGATAAAGTCATTCCTTGGTGACTGAGCAGAGTGCGATATATTATGCTTCGGCTGAAGAGAGGGCGATCAGTTCCTGCTTGCTCGACTGCCAGGAGATAGGACCGATAGGTTCGAGGCGGTAGATGTAGCCGGTGCGCGAGCGTCTGTTATTGGAGTCGCCAGCGTGATCGGCGTCGACGTAGCCGATTAACTTAGTCGGTGCAGTTGCGTTCTTGTAGTAAGTTAGGCCGATCGTCGGGGTGCTGACAAGATAGTGAAGAGCGCGGTCGAGCTCCGCCAGGTGCTTTGCTTCGGGCTTCTTAAGGTAGGTGGCGAGCTGGCTCGCGGAGTATGAAAGGTCTGGACGGCAAGTAACGGCTGCGAAGAGGAGGCATCCCAGCTTCCTCTGGTAGTCGCGTATGCCGGCGGGCTTGAGTAGAGTGGATTCTCCCTTGTCGCTTCCGGTTGTGTAATGGTATGGCGTGGAGATGGCGGTCGGTTTGAGAGCGAAGCGTTTGGCGATGGTGTCGGCGTACTTCGCGGCATTGAGGTAGATTGCGCCTTCTTCTTCCCGGATGTTCAGACCGAGGTACTGCGTGACGGTGGATGAGACTGTGAGCGTGAGATCTTTCTGTAGCTCCCCTTCGAACCAGGTCGTGATGCCGTCGGTCGGTAGAGCCGATGTAGAGGAGATCGTCCACGTAGACGATTAGCAGGATGTAGTCATCGCTCTTCGTGAGTCGGTACATGCCTTGATCGTGCGGTAGCTGGTTGAAGCCGATGCGAATGAGGCGAGCGTGTAGGTATTGTTGCCACAACCGTGGGGCTTGCTTGATGCCGTAGAGCGATTTGAGTAGCTGACAGACGTGGTTAGGTTCTCCGTTGGAGCCGTGCGGTAGTTCAATGAAGATTTCGGCATCGACGGGTGCGTAGAGGAAGGCATTTGCGACATCGATTTGCCGCAGCTTCTTTTTCTTCATGGCGGCGATCGCGAGTAGAATTCGGAGTGAGGTATGTCGGCTGACCGGGGCGAATGTCTCGGTGAAGTCCCGTCCGTGCTCCTGATCGAATCCACGCACAACCCAGCGTGCTTTGAACTTCTCAATTGTGCCGTCTGCTTTCGTTTTGACGCGGAAGACCCATTTCCCGGTGAGAATGGTCTTGTTTCTTGCCACGCTGATGGGAACGACTTTCCAGGTGTTCCGTTCCTCCAGTGCCTTCAATTCTCTGCCCATGGCTTCACGCCATTTCGCCTTATGTTCCCCCCCCAGAGCCTGCTGAACTGTCGCAGGCTCCTTAGGAAGAGCCGTGCCGTGGACTGCGGTGACGAGGCCGAGAATTTGCAGTCCACTCTGTATGTAGCGGGATAAACTGCTTCGTCTTCCGCTTCAGGTGCTGGATTGAAATTTGGTCTTACACGTTCTGCTTCGTTGGTGTTGACCCGTGCAGGTGTAACGTAACCGTTGTCGGCGAGGTCGTAGAAGACGTCGGCGTTGATGCTTTCGCGAGGATTTTCGTCATCCATTGGGACATCCACGGAGCAGTAAGGGAGAGGTCCGGCTTCCTCCGAGGCTCCCTCCACGTTCTGCTCGTCCCAGTCAGCTTCGTCTTCTGCCGAGGCGAAGGCTCGGTTTCCATGAAATCCGCCCGAGAGGTCAGGTCTGTTTTCTTCGATGTACATGAGGTGAGTTCCGAGGGTGAGGTTAGAAGATGACATCACGTGCTGCTACTGTTTCCTTGCTGTTGATGTCGAAGATTTTCCATGCGTTGTAATGTTTTGCGATGCCCAGGTGTAGTCCCCACTGTGCGCGTTGAGAGAATCGCCCAGCTCGTGCAGATGGAGGTCGGTACTGTACCATGCAGCAAAAAACCCTTAACATTTATGTGCTGCCCAATTTTCCTGTCCATAGCAGATGCGGTGATGCGTTGTTCGGGAGCGATGATGACGAAAGCAAGTTGTGCAGCATCACGGCGTGGTCCATTGCTTCGGGCCACTGGTGGTTGGGCAGATGCATGCCACGTAGCAGCTTGCGCATGGTGGCTTGGAGTGTCCTGTTCATCCTTTCTGCTACGCCTTGCTGTTGGTGAGCGTAGGGAAGGGAGATGAGCCGTTTGATCCCTCTTTCTGCCAAGTACTGCTTGAACCTCTGTGAGGTGTATTCTCCTCCCCCGTCTGACTGAAAACTCTTTAGCTTGACGCCCGATTCTCTTTCTGCTACGGGAAGCCACGCGACGAAGGCTTCGAAGGCCATGTCCCTGCTCGGAAGGTTGAGATGCCACACGTAACGTGTCGCGGCGTCGATGAACGTGATGGTGTAACTGTAGGCGTTTTGTCCGGGTTCACGGTTGTATAATATGTCGCTGTACACCTTTTCCAGAGGTGTGTACGCAGGTGCGCTTGGATTGTGATGCGAGACGAACGGCTGATGCGGTAAGTCAGCTTCAGGGCAGGTGAAGCACGTTCCACGGGCTCGTTGAAGTTCTCTGCCGTCGGTCAGTAGGAGTGAGTCTTTGTCGAGTACTCCTGCTCTTATCGTGTTGTTTAACACTGTGTTGCTTGGATGTCCCATTCTTGCGTGCCAGGTTCCTTCAGTGGCGCGATGTCCGGGTGATCGTCGATACAGATCGGAGTTGGAGTAGAAGCCGGCGGTGACGTTGGTGCTTCGGTGGACTTCACGTGGTGCTGGTTTTAACTGTTGTGCGGGTGTCGGTGGCGAATCGTCGATGGAGATTGGTGCCGTTGAAGGACCAGCGATTGGTGTCGATGTTACTGCTGCTGTTGTTGTTGTCTCTGCTGCTGCCGATGTTGCTTCTGCTGCTGCTGATGTTGTTGCTGCTGCTGCCGATGTTGCTTGAATTGTTGCTAACGCTCTTGTTCGTTCTGTCTCAGGTATCGTGTGAGAGTGCCAGAACCCACCAGGGCTGAAGTCTGGATCAAGATCTGGAGGGTGGGTCCAGGAGGTGAAGGTGACGATGCCGTCGCTGTCTGCTGTGCCGAGATCTGGAACAAAATCAAGAACGAAGACGTTGTTCTTGAGGATCGCCTTTCCGATGTAGAGGCCGCCCTTCCCGTGGTACAGCTTGAACTCCTGGGTGGTGCTGTTTGCTTCAAGGTGAATACCCTTCGCCATCAACTGACTGACGCTCAGTAAGTTGTAGCCGAGGCCTTCTGCAATTAAAACCTTGGACATCTGTAGAATGACGTTTGTTTCTCGTGACTGAAGGTGTACTACGCCTTGTCGTCGTGTGCGCAGATTTTGATTGTTGGCGACGGTGATGACTACTTCTCGTTGGAGTTGATACTCTCGCTGCACGAAGCGTCCTGAAGAGCACATGTGCTGTCCGCAGCAACTGTCCAAGAACCAGGTATCTTTCCCGGATGGCTCGCTTTGGGCGATGGCTGCGTACGTTGGGTTCGGTTGAAGTGACTCGCGGCGGGGCGTGCTGTTGTCGAGCTGTTCTTCCGGTGAGTAATGTGGTGGTGACTTAGTGACGCAGGAGTTGGTCAATCTTGCCATGCAACTGACGATGTTCCTTGCTCCTTGTGCAGGTTGTCCCGTTGGTGTTGTTGAAGCTTGAACCTGAGTCGTGGAATTTGCTTGCGTTGAGGTAACTTGGCTGCTTGAAGGTCGAAGCTGTCGCTGTGGTGGTGTTGACTGTTGTCGATTCGGGCAGTGCGTGCGCGGGTGCCCTGACGTCTTGCAGATATGGCAGAACGGAGGTACGTGTTTCTGTTGTTGTCGGTTGTTGTTGTAGCGTCGCTGAGTGTGGAACGCGAATTCCGGTACTGACGTTTTTCTCTTGTGTCGTTCTTCTTGCAGGTCCATGTCTTGCTGCTCGGCGTGGATTTCGGCACAGAGTGCTGCTTCGGAGATTTTTCCGTGAGCTCGGAGGATGGCTCGGGTGGAACGCCATTGAGGACCGAGGCCACCGATGACGACTGTTACGAAGGCTTCTTCGGCTATTGATCCTCCGCATCGAAGGAGTTTGTCGCGCAGTTCGCGACAGCGGCTGATATACGCCATTCCTTTTTCGCCCGGTTTCATTTCGACCGCTGTCAATTGCGCCATTAACCGGCTCTGGTTGACGCTGTCTGTTGCTTGATACAGGTTCTTCAGGTGGCTGTAAGCGAGCTCGGCAGAGTTGCCGTATCCCCGGTAAGACCGAATGTTCTGCTGCTGGCTCGGAGTGATGTTTCTCAGCAGAATTGTATATGCCATCATTGACTGATAAGTATACTGCTGCTTCTCGTACTGTGTGCCGTTTGTTGGGTATGGCAGGGACCCGTCGAAGAAGCCAAGTATCTGTGCGCCTTCCATCATCAACTCGAATTCGAACGACCAGGTGAAGAAGTCCTTTCCATCAAAAGGTCTTGATGTTTGCAGCTTTAAAACGTGCGCGAATTGCGTCTGAACTTGCAGCGCGTCCAGTGGTTTTTCTTGTCCAGGTGGGGGCTGCAGGTGCGGCATGAAGCTGATGGAGCCGCGCTCGTACGGAGCAAAGGTAGGCTGCTGCTGTTGATTCCCTCGCGCGTATGATGAGTCGTCGAGACTCATGGGAGTCACATCGTTGTTGTTGTTGCTGTTGTTCGATTGTGCAGGTACTGACTGCTGGTGTTGCTCGTAAAACGACATGAAGGAGAAAAACTTCTCCATCATGCTCTGGTCGAAGCTGGCAGGTTGACTTGCTGAGGGTGCAGCTGGTCTTGTTGCCGTGCCCTCCTCTGTCTGTAGGCCAGAGGCAGGAGGTGGAGTAGGAGTAGTGCCCTGGGAGCCGTTAGAGGAGCTCCTTTCCTTTTGTGTTGCCATGTCTTGTGATGACTTGGTAGTAGTTGAGTTTCCCTTGTGAGCTCTCATACCATGTTGGGCTGAGAAAGCCCTTAGGATCTTTGCAAGGGTAAACTCTGGGTGGAGATGTAATAGCGGAAGCGTTAAATGAAGAGATTTGAACCACCTTGCGCTGGTATGTGAGGGCAAAGTAAGTTGATTAAAGCAAGCAAGTACAAAGATTTATATAAGAGTACAAGGAATACGAAGAGATACGACTGATAACTATTTTTGCTGCAGCGGTTCGATACAGTGCGACTCGGGCAACTGCTCAATATCGAGTCAGTTGTGTGTCCTTGCTGTCGCGCTGCATTTGTCAGGTCAAAGGTCGCTGACCTTTGACTTTCGCGTAACCTCCAACAGTTACTTTCAACCTCCGAGGGTTGACTCGTGGGTGTTTCGTTATGATTTACTTTGCTTCTGGTGCGGTGTTTCGACACGACAGAGGCGCTTACGACTTGTTGTTTCCAACATGAGGGAATGCCACGAAGCTCTAGTATATCCCTTCCATAAAGTGCTAACCACCCAAATACAAAAAGAAACGTGGATCATGAAATGTGTTTTTGTCTTATACCCATAAGTTCCCATAAATTGGGAATATTCGGTATCCAGTGCAATAAGGGGGAAAATACAAAAAAAAACCAAGTCACACATGATGTCTCGGACCCCTCTTAGGCAAGTAGGATGAAAGATAGACTTCATCCTCTCCTACACCCCCCAAGTCATCTGACTCATCACCGAGATATTTGTCCTCATCTCCTACATCCCTATCCGCCACGTCATCACCTACACCGTCATAATTCCCCGCATCATCGCCAGCACCGGTATCATCATCTCCGTCAAGATCCACGTCAGCAGAAAAACCAACAGCACCTGCCATATCAGCAGCACCAGCGTCCACCTGACCTGGGGTAGCCACGTCAGCAGAGAAATCTCCAGCCACCAGCGCAGGAATGGCTGCGTCGTCAGCATCAGCAGCGTTAGCAGCGGCGTTACGGGCAGCGGATCCGCCAGTAGGGTTACCAGAGGGGGTCTGAAGGAGCTCCACCTGGGGTTCAAAGGCAGGCCAGTCCTTACGAGGCCTGCAGGGGAGGAGGTAGGGAAAGATACACCAGTGGGGGTCAGCAGTGTTACGAGCAGCGAATGCTCCAGTGGAGGTTTGAAAGAGCTCCACCTGGGGCTGAAAGGAAACCAGTCCTGGCGATGCCTGCAAGGGAAGGAAGGAGGTGAGGAAAGAAGCACCACCGGAGGTTAGCAGGGTTACCAGCAGCGTTAAAAGCAGTGGATGCATCTGTGGGGGTCTGAAGGGGCTCCACGTGGGGTTCAAAGGCAGGCAGGCCAGTCCTTGCGCGGCCTGCAGGGGAAAGAAGGAGGTGGGGAAAGATGCACAAGTGGGTGGCAGCAGTGTTAAGAGCAGCAGATGCATCTGGCGTCTGAAGGGGCTCCACGTGGGGTTCAAAGGCAGGCAGGCCAGTCCTTGCGCGGCCTGCAGGGGAAGAGAGGAGGAGAGGACAGGAGACAAGCGCAGGCAGGAGATAACAAAAGAAACTGCAAGGAACTGGAGAAGTGCCTATGAGCCACATCGGAAGACAGACTTGTGACTCAATCCGAAATGCGTGCATGCATGCAGCCCTGCGCTGCGAGGCTTGCAGTTATGGGAAGTCAAGGCCTCCGCGAGGCTTGCAAGGCTTGCGAGGCTTGCAGCAGCTCCATGTCCCCCATAACCCACCCTAACTGTCCTGCGTCCACGTGAAAGAACTATTTTTTAGTTTGAGAAACGTCTCAAAAACTCGAGCTATCCCGCCCATAACCCACCCTACCTGCCCTGCGACCTCTGGTGGACTCTCCAACCCTGCCTTGCCCAGGCAGAACCCCCCTCATCTTCTGCCTTGCCCAGGCAGAACCCCCCTCATCTTCTCAGGCAAGAGCCGTGGTACCCACTGGTGCAGGTGGGAAGCAGCTGCTGTCACGGGGGAGAGGGGCCGGCCAGCATAACCTGTGCTCTGCGACTAGGGTGAATTCTCCTTTCCACGCACCTTCTCACGCTGATGCGCTCATCTGCTCTCCGCATGAAGGCCAGAGCCGTGGTGCCCACTGGTGGGGGCAGCCGCTGCAGCAGTTACCTGCGCCCTGCGTCTAGGGTTCAATGCAGGAGTTTGTTTTCCACGCACCTTCTCACGCTGATGCGCCCATCTGCTCTCCGCATGAAGGCCAGAGTGGTGGTGCCGACGGGAGGGGTGGGAGCGGCAGCTGCTGCTGTGGCCTTTGGGCTGGAGGAGAGGGGTATGAGGGGGATGTGTGTGTGTCAAGGAGAGGAAGAGGAGAAAAGGAGGAAACATACATGACGGTCAGTGCTGCTGCTGTGGCCTTTGGGCTGGAAGGGGGTGAGAGGGAGGGAGAGTGTGGCAAGGAGAAAGGCAGAATCGAGCGTGAAGGCCAGAGCGGTGGTGCCCACTGGTGGGGCAGGAGGTAGGGACCGCTGCTGCTGCGGTCTTTGGGCTGAAGGAGGGGGGTAAGAGGGGGGTGTGTGTGTGACAAGGAGCAAGGCAGAAACGAGCGTGAAAGCCAGAGATGTGGTGCTCACTGGTTGGGCGGGAGAGGCTGGAGGGCAGAAGAGAGAAGGGAGAGAAGAGCGGCGAGAAGCGGAGAGGAAGGGGGGAAAGGAACAGTCGAGCATGAAGGGCAGAGAGCCATGGTGCACAGTGATGCAAAGTGGTGCAACGTGGTGCAGGTGGAGGGGCCTAAGAGGGAGGGAACCATGACAGGCGGAGGGAACCATGACAGGCGGAGGGAACCATGACAGGCGGAGGGAACCATGACAGGCGGAGGGAACCATGACAGGCGGAGGGAACCATGACAGGCGGAGGGAACCATGACAGGCACCTGTCACGTGACAAGAGGAGCAACAGGGAGGAAGGCCAGAGCATGAAGAGGGAAAAGCTACGGTCGAGCATGCACAGCACAGCACTGAAGGGCAGAGCTGTTGGGAGAGGAAGGGGAACGGAGAGGAGAAGGCGAATCAGGCACAGCACTTCTAGCTCTGCTCCTACCTCGCCTTTTCATCCCTCATTCCAGGCTTACGCACCCCACCCACCCACCCACCCACCCACCCACCCACCCACCCACCCACCCACCTCCATGCTGATTTCTCTCGCTACCCCCCATTCACCCCCATTCACCCCCATTCACCCCCATTCACCCCCATTCACCCCCATTCACCCCCATTCACCCCCATTCACCCCCATTCACCCCCATTCACCCCCATTCACCCCCATTCACCCCCATTCACCCCCATTCACCCCTCCCCACCCCCCTGCCACTCACTCGGCATTCCCCCCGCGCTCCCTCCTTGGCCGCTTGGAGGGGCGGGGCTCCGTGGAAGCTCGTCGTCACCCATCCCATGATTTTTGAGGCGCCTGAAAGCTCGTCGCCACCCATCCCATGATTTTTGAGGCGCCTCAAAGCTCGTCGTCACCCATCCCATGATTTTTGAGGCGCCTCAAAGCTCGTCGTCACCCATCCCATGATTTTTGAGGCGCCTCAAAGCTCGTCGCCACCCATCCCATGATTTTTGAGGCGCCTCAAAGCTCGTCGTCACCCATCCCATGATTTTTGAGGCGCCTCAAAGCTCGTCGTCACCCATCCCATGATTTTTGAGGCGCCTCAAAGCTCGTCGTCACCCATCCCATGATTTTTGAGGCGCCTCAAAGCTCGTCGTCACCCATCCCATGATTTTTGAGGCGCCTCAAAGCTCGTCGTCACCCATCCCATGCTTTTTGAGGCGCCTCAAAGCTCGTCGTCACCCATCCCATGATTTTTGAGGCGCCTCAAAGCTCGTCGTCACCCATCCCATGATTTTTGAGGCGCCTCAAAGCTCGTCGTCACCCATCCCATGATTTTTGAGGCGCCTCAAAGCTCGTCGTCACCCATCCCATGATTTTTTAGGCGCCTCAAAGCTCGTCGTCACCCATCCGATGATTTTTGAGGCGCCTCAAAGCTCGTCGTCACCCATCCCATGATTTTTGAGGCGCCTCAAAGCTCGTCGTCACCCATCCCATGATTTTTGAGGCGCCTCAAAGCTCGTCGTCACCCATCCCATGATTTTTGAGGCGCCTCAAAGCTCGTCGTCACCCATCCCATGATTTTTGAGGCGCCTCAAAGCTCGTCGTCACCCATCCCATGATTTTTGAGGCGCCTCAAAGCTCGTCGTCACCCATCCCATGATTTTTGAGGCGCCTCAAAGCTCGTCGTCACCCATCCCATGATTTTTGAGGCGCCTCAAAGCTCGTCGTCACCCATCCCATGATTTTTTAGGCGCCTCAAAGCTCGTCGTCACCCATCCCATGATTTTTGAGGCGCCTCAAAGCTCGTCGTCACCCATCCCATGATTTTTGAGGCGCCTCAAAGCTCGTCGTCACCCATCCCATGATTTTTGAGGCGCCTCAAAGCTCGTCGCCACCCATCCCATGATTTTTTAGGCGCCTCAAAGCTCGTCGTCACCCATCCCATGATTTTTGAGGCGCCTCAAAGCTCGTCGTCACCCATCCCATGATTTTTGAGGCGCCTCAAAGCTCGTCGTCACCCATCCCATGATTTTTGAGGCGCCTCAAAGCTCGTCGTCACCCATCCCATGATTTTTGAGGCGCCTCAAAGCTCGTCGTCACCCATCCCATGATTTTTGAGGCGCCTCAAAGCTCGTCGTCACCCATCCCATGATTTTTGAGGCGCCTCAAAGCTCGTCGTCACCCATCCCATGATTTTTGAGGCGCCTCAAAGCTCGTCGTCACCCATCCCATGATTTTTGAGGCGCCTCAAAGCTCGTCGCCACCCATCCCATGATTTTTGAGGCGCCTCAAAGCTCGTCGTCACCCATCCCATGATTTTTGAGGCGCCTCAAAGCTCGTCGTCACCCATCCCATGATTTTTGAGGCGCCTCAAAGCTCGTCGTCACCCATCCCATGATTTTTGAGGCGCCTCAAAGCTCGTCGTCACCCATCCCATGATTTTTGAGGCGCCTCAAAGCTCGTCGTCACCCATCCCATGATTTTTGAGGCGCCTCAAAGCTCGTCGTCACCCATCCCATGATTTTTGAGGCGCCTCAAAGCTCGTCGTCACCCATCCCATGCTTTTTGAGGCGCCTCAAAGCTCGTCGTCACCCATCCCATGATTTTTGAGGCGCCTCAAAGCTCGTCGTCACCCATCCCATGATTTTTGAGGCGCCTCAAAGCTCGTCGTCACCCATCCCATGATTTTTGAGGCGCCTCAAAGCTCGTCGTCACCCATCCCATGATTTTTGAGGCGCCTCAAAGCTCGTCGTCACCCATCCCATGATTTTTGAGGCGCCTCAAAGCTCGTCGTCACCCATCCCATGATATTTGAGGCGCCTCAAAGCTTGTCGTCACCCATCCCATGATTTTTGAGGCGCCTCAAAGCTCGTCGTCACCCATCCCATGATTTTTGAGGCGCCTCAAAGCTCGTCGTCACCCATCCCATGATTTTTGAGGCGCCTCAAAGCTCGTCGTCACCCATCCCATGATTTTTGAGGCGCCTCAAAGCTCGTCGTCACCCATCCCATGATTTTTGAGGCGCCTCAAAGCTCGTCGTCACCCATCCCATGATTTTTGAGGCGCCTCAAAGCTCGTCGTCACCCATCCCATGATTTTTGAGGCGCCTCAAAGCTCGTCGTCACCCATCCCATGATTTTTGAGGCGCCTCAAAGCTCGTCGTCACCCATCCCATGATTTTTGAGGCGCCTCAAAGCTCGTCGTCACCCATCCCATGATTTTTGAGGCGCCTCAAAGCTCGTCGTCACCCATCCCATGATTTTTGAGGCGCCTCAAAGCTCGTCGTCACCCATCCCATGATTTTTGAGGCGCCTCAAAGCTCGTCGTCACCCATCCCATGATTTTTGAGGCGCCTCAAAGCTCGTCGTCACCCATCCCATGATATTTGAGGCGCCTCAAAGCTCGTCGTCACCCTTCCCATGATTTTTGAGGCGCCTCAAAGCTCGTCGTCACCCATCCCATGATTTTTGAGGCGCCTCAAAGCTCGTCGTCACCCATCCCATGATTTTTGAGGCGCCTCAAAGCTCGTCGTCACCCATCCCATGATTTTTGAGGCGCCTCAAAGCTCGTCGTCACCCATCCCATGATTTTTGAGGCGCCTCAAAGCTCGTCGTCACCCATCCCATGATTTTTGAGGCGCCTCAAAGCTCGTCGTCACCCATCCCATGATTTTTGAGGCGCCTCAAAGCTCGTCGTCACCCATCCCATGATTTTTGAGGCGCCTCAAAGCTCGTCGTCACCCATCCCATGCTTTTTGAGGCGCCTCAAAGCTCGTCGTCACCCATCCCATGATTTTTGAGGCGCCTCAAAGCTCGTCGTCACCCATCCCATGATTTTTGAGGCGCCTCAAAGCTCGTCGTCACCCATCCCATGATTTTTGAGGCGCCTCAAAGCTCGTCGTCACCCATCCCATGATTTTTGAGGCGCCTCAAAGCTCGTCGTCACCCATCCCATGATTTTTGAGGCGCCTCAAAGCTCGTCGTCACCCATCCCATGATTTTTGAGGCGCCTCAAAGCTCGTCGTCACCCATCCCATGATTTTTGAGGCGCCTCAAAGCTCGTCGTCACCCATCCCATGCTTTTTGAGGCGCCTCAAAGCTCGTCGTCACCCATCCCATGATTTTTGAGGCGCCTCAAAGCCCGTCGTCACCCATCCCATGATTTTTGAGGCGCCTCAAAGCTCGTCGTCACCCATCCCATGCCCCCTACTCCCTTCTCTTCCCCCCTAAACCACCCCTCTCCCCTTTCCACCCAACCCTATTCCGCCCCATACCCCTCGCCCCTCCTCCCCATCCCCCTGCCACTCACTCGGCGTTCCCCCCGCGCTCCCTCCTTGGCCGCTTGGAGGAGCGCGGCTCCTTAGAGGCTAGCATCTGGCGGGCCAGCTGGGGGGGGGCAGGCCAGGCAGAGGGTGGGGTTGTGGGCAGGAAGAGAGGGGGAGCAGCAGGAAAATGGGCGGGTGACGCCAACTTTTAGAGGAGCGGGGCTCCTCGGAAGGCAGCATCTGGCGGGCCAGCTGGGGGGGGGCACGCCAGGCAGGAAGAGGGGAGCAGCAGGAACGTGGGTAAACCAACTGTGAGAATATTCAACTGTTGGAGGCCCGGCATCTGGCGCTCGAGCTGGTGGGGGAAGCGGCTGTTCAGAAAGGCTCACGGAAAGGCACGTGCTTCAAAGAAAAGGCTCGAGCTGATGAGACTGGGGTTGTTCATGGAAGGGGAAGGAGACCGCAGAAAACTTTTGAGTCGACTCAAACGTCACCTCGAGCTGGTGGGCAATGCATTTGTTCAGAAGCAGGCTCACGGAAAGGCATTGAGACCGGGGTTGTTCATGGAAGGGGAAGGAGATTGCAGAAACGTGCTTCATAGAACAGTGCGTAGATGATCAGAGAGCGGAGAGCGGAGAGCAGAGAGCGGAGAGCAGAGAGCGGAGAGCAGAGGGCGGAGAGCAGAGGGCGGAGAGCAGAGGGCGGAGAGCAGAGAGCGGAGAGCAGAGGGTGGAAAGCAGAGGGCGGAGAGCAGAGGGCGGAGAGGAGAGGGCGGAGAGCAGAGGGCGGAGAGCAGAGAGCGGAGAGCGGAGAGCAGAGAGCGGAGAGCAGAGGGCGGATAGCAGAGGGCGGAGAGCAGAGAGCGGAGAGCAGAGGACGGAGAGCAGAGGGCGGAGAGCAGAGGGCGGAGAGGAGAGGGCGGAGAGCAGAGGGCGGAGAGCAGAGGGCGGAGAGGAGAGGGCGGAGAGCAGAGGGCGGAGAGCAGAGGGCGGAGAGGAGAGGGCGGAGAGCAGAGGGCGGAGAGCAGAGGGCGGAGAGGAGAGGGCTTCATTTCTCTGGTCAATGTTATCTATATAAAAATGATGACCGGATTTGACTGCGCATTCCTGGACCAGGAACCATACCTTACCAAGTGGACAAGCGGACAATAAACAGACAAATAAACAGACAAACATAAACAGACAAATAAACAGACAAATAAACAGACAAAAAAGAACAGAAACACTCCGCCCACCTCTAGCAATTGCTCTCGCAGAGTCACTGCAACCCAGACCTGCAACAAGGCAGAGGGCAGCGACAGGGAAGGGAGGAGTTGAGGAATGAGGGGATTAAGATGCTGCTGAGGATGCATTACCTGGGAGCTTGTCATTACCTGAGAGCGTGTCATTACCTGAGAGCGTGGCATTACCTGAGAGCGTATCATTACCTGAGAGCGTGTCATTACCTGAGAGCGTGTCATTACCTGAGAGCGTGTCATTACCAGAGAGCGTGTCATTACCTGAGAGCGTGTCATTACCTGAGAGCATGTCATTACCTGAGAGCGTGTCATTACCTGAGAGCGTGTCATTACCTGAGAGCGTGTCATTACCTGAGAGCGTGTCATTACCTGAGAGCGTGTCATTACCTGAGAGCGTGTCATTACCTGAGAGCATGTCATTACCTGAGAGCGTGTCATTACCTGAGAGCGTGTCATTACCTGAGAGCGTGTCATTACCTGAGAGCGTGTCATTACCTGAGAGCGTGTCATTACCTGAGAGCGTGGCATTACCTGAAAGCGTGTCATTACCTGAGAGCGTGTCATTACCTGAGAGCGTGTCATTACCTGAGAGCGTGTCATTACCAGAGAGCGTGTCATTACCTGAGAGCGTGTCATTACCTGAGAGCATGTCATTACCTGAGAGCGTGTCATTACCTGAGAGCGTGTCATTACCTGAGAGCGTGTCATTACCTGAGAGCGTGTCATTACCTGAGAGCGTGTCATTACCTGAGAGCGTGTCATTACCTGAGAGCGTGTCATTACCTGAGAGCGTGGCATTACCTGAGAGCGTATCATTACCTGAGAGCGTGTCATTACCTGAGAGCGTGTCATTACCTGAGAGCGTGTCATTACCTGAGAGCGTGTCATTACCTGAGAGCGTGGCATTACCTGAGAGCGTGGCACCACCTGAGAGCGTGTCATTTCCTGAGAGCGTGTCATTACCTGAGAGCGTGTCATTACCTGAGAGCGTGTCATTCCCTGAGAGCGTGTCATTACCTGAGAGCGTGGCATTACCTGAGAGCGTGGCACCACCTGAGAGCGTGTCATTACCTGAGAGCGTGTCATTACCTGAGAGCGTGTCATTACCTGAGAGCGTGTCATTACCTGAGCTGAGAGCGTGTCATTACCTGAGCTGAGAGCGTGTCATTACCTGAGAGCGTGTCATTACCTGAGAGCGTGTCATTACCTGAGAGCGTGTCATTACCTGAGAGCGTGTCATAACCTGAGAGCGTGTCATTACCTGAGAGCGTGTCATTACCTGAGAGCGTGTCATTACCTGAGAGCGTGTCATTACCTGAGAGCGTGTCATTACCTGAGAGCGTGTCATTACCTGAGAGCGTGTCATTACCTGAGAGCGTGTCATTACCAGAGAGCGTGTCATTACCTGAGAGCGTGTCATTACCTGAGCTGAGAGCGTGTCATTACCTGAGAGCGTGTCATTACCTGAGAGTGTGTCATTACCTGAGAGCGTGTCATTACCTGAGAGCGTGTCATTACCTGAGAGCGTGGCATTACCTGAGAGCATGGCACCACCTGAGAGCGTGTCATTACCTGAGAGCGTGTCATTACCTGAGAGCGTGTCATTACCTGAGAGCGTGTCATTACCTGAGCTGAGAGCGTGTCATTACCTGAGCTGAGAGCGTGTCATTACCTGAGAGCATGTCATTACCTGAGAGCGTGTCATTACCTGAGAGCGTGTCATTACCTGAGAGCGTGTCATAACCTGAGAGCGTGGCACCACCTGAGAGCGTGTCATTACCTGAGAGCGTGTCATTACCTGAGAGCGTGTCATTACCTGAGAGCGTGTCATTAGCATGGCATTACCTGAGAGCGTGTCATTACCTGAGAGCGTGTCATTACCTGAGCTGAGAGCGTGTCATTACCTGAGAGCGTGTCATTACCTGAGAGCGTGTCATTACCTGAGAGCATGGCATTACCTGAGAGCATGTCATTACCTGAGAGCGTGTCATTACCTGAGAGCGTGTCATTACCTGAGAGCATGGCATTACCTGAGAGCGTGTCATTACCTGAGAGCGTGTCATTACCTGAGCTGAGAGCGTGTCATTACCTGAGAGCGTGTCATTACCTGAGAGCGTGTCATTACCTGAGAGCATGGCATTACCTGAGAGCGTGTCATTACCTGAGAGCGTGTCATTACCTGAGAGCGTGTCATTACCAGAGAGCGTGTCATTACCTGAGAGCGTGTCATTACCTGAGAGCGTGTCATTACCTGAGAGCGTGTCATTACCTGAGAGCGTGTCATTACCTGAGAGCGTGTCATAACCTGAGAGCGTGTCATTACCTGAGAGCGTGTCATTACCTGAGAGCGTGTCATTACCTGAGCTGAGAGCGTGTCATTACCTGAGAGCGTGTCATTACCTGAGAGCGTGTCATTACCTGAGCTGAGAGCGTGTCATTACCTGAGAGCGTGTCATTACCTGAGCTGAGAGCGTGTCATTACCTGAGCTGAGAGCGTGTCATTACCTGAGCTGAGAGCGTGTCATTACCTGAGAGCGTGTGGCGACTTTTGAGGCGACTCAAAAGTCGTCCGCGTGCGGTAAACAGATGCAGGCAGATGCAACACACACTGGTGCACTCGAAAAGCGAGGTGAATCTTGAGTCGACTCAAAAGTCAGAATGAACACAAGCGCAAGAGCACAGCTTACGTCCACGTGCAGTAAACAGATGCAGGCAGATGCAACACACACTAGTGCACTCAAAAGGCGCACAAGGCATTGACATACTTGAGAGATCTCTTTTGAATTACCAATAGCCAAAAGCCATTGCGTTACCCATAAGCCGTTGACATAATGGTATCTCCACGTAAGAAGTTTATCACCACAAAGAACGAAAATTGCTTGTCAAGTCAAATTTCCTCAGCAATTATGTTACCTGTGCTTGTGGATCGGCATCGGTAATCCCAAGATCAGAGCAAAGGCCAGCAGCATAGGCCTCGGGATCCGCGTATGGGTTGTTCAAATCCTGCCAAGAGGTGAGGGTGGGAGTGGTGACAGTCGGAGGCTGGGGATGGGTTTAAACATAAAGGGTTTGTTACTACAGTGAGAGTTGATCATCAAACGAACGCATCCGCAACCATCGACAAAAGCTGACACGGCATAAAGAACCGCATGTACAATAGCAATCACTCGACCTATTGACCTTTCATAAGTGCATTTACGGTCAAAGTTAGATAAGTTGTTCACGAGCTATTTCTTTTTGGCTACTCAAGCAAAGCAGCGGCTTACCCACAAGAACTGGTCTCGGATTATGCATGTGGCTGTGCACACATCCAGCTGTGGAAGGGAAGAGGGCATGCGTGTAAGGGTGGAAAAGGTGCCTTTTGAGTCGACTCAAAAGTCACCTCTGTGGAAGGGAAGAGGGCATGCGTGTAAGGGTGGAAAAGGTGCGGGGTGTATAGATTAAACGGAACGACCTTGCACAATGATGCATGTGGCTGTGCACACATCCATCCAGCTGTGTGGAAAGGAAGAGAACACGTGCGGGGATGGATGGATAGTAAGAAAACAACAATCAAATTGTTAGGGTGGGAGTGATAACAATATTTACGGAGTGCTGGCATGAACACGTGTATGTGCCTCTCGCTATAAGCACACTCGCTACAGTGTATCTCACTCACCTTCACCAGATGCACGTTCTCCTCACTCCCCCCAGCACTGCTGCCAGGTCCTGGGCGTGCAGCGATCGAAACTCAGCCACCTGAGCCTGCTTGTGTGGAGGGGGAAATGGGGAGAGATAGGGTGGTGGAGTTTTGAGCCGACTCAAAACACACCTTGCGGAGTGGTGTGCTGGAGTGGCGAGGCGGGCAGTGCCACCAAGTGCCCTGCTCTCCTCCCTCCCAGCACTGCTGCCAGGTCCTGCGCATGCAGCGACTGGAATTCAGCCACCTGGGCTTGCATGTATGGTGTTGTTGACAAGGGGATGAGATGGGGGGAGAAGGGATGGGGAGAGAGGCGGGGGGGGAGGGGGGGGTAGCATAGCAAGCAGTGCCACCAAGTGCCCTGCTCTCCTCCCTCCCAGCACTGCTGCCAGGTCCTGCGCATGCAGTGACTGGAATTCAGCCACCTGGGCTTGCATGTATGGTGTTGTTGACAAGGGGATGAGATGGGGGGAGAAGGGATGGGGAGAGAGGCGGGGGGGGAGGGGGGGGTAGCATAGCAAGAAGTGCCACCAAGTGCCCTGCTCTCCTCCCTCCCAGCACTGCTGCCAGGTCCTGCGCATGCAGTGACTGGAATTCAGCCACCTGGGCTTGCATGTATGGTGTTGTTGACAAGGGGATGAGATGGGGGGAGAAGGGATGGGGAGAGAGGCGGGGGGGGAGGGGGGGGTAGCATAGCAAGCAGTGCCACCAAGTGCCCTGCTCTCCTCCCTCCCAGCACTGCTGCCAGGTCCTGCGCATGCAGCGATCAAGATTCAGCTCCCTGGGCCTGCAGGGTGAATGGGATCCGGGAGTGCGGGAGTTAGGGGGGGGAGGGAAGGGGGGGCAGGGGAAGTGGGGGGTGGGAATGAGGGGGAGGGGAAAGAGGGACAGGGGAAGGGGGGGCAGGGGGTGGGGGCATTGGAAGGGGGGGCAGGGGTAGGGTAGGGGGGGGTGGGAAGGGAGGGAGGGGAAGGGGAAAGGGTAAAAGGGGGAGAGGGGAAGGGTGGGGAGGGGAAGCGGGGGCAGGGGAAGGGGGGGACGGGAATGGTGGGGAGGGGGGATCGGGGGAGGTACGAGGTGGGGGAAGAGGGAAGGGAAAAGAGATGCGCTTGGACCAAAGCATGCAGTGTCCGGGAATCAGCCAGCTGGGCTGGGCATGCATGTGCGGAGGGGACCGGGGGGTGTGGGGTCAGGGGAATGGGAGGGGGTGACGGGAAGGGCGGTTGAGGGAAGGCGAACAAGTGATGAGAGGTGCAAAAACCACTCCTCGCCTCTCTCAACTCTCCCCCCCTCCCGACCCCTCCTCTCAACTCTTCTGCCTTCCCTCCCCTCTCCTCCCCTCCCCTCTCCTCCCCTCCCCTCTCCTCCCCTCCCCTCCCCTCCCCTCCTTCCATCCCCCAATCCGCACACCTGAATGGCTTGAGTGATGTGCGGCAGGAAGTAGGGAGGAAGCTTCGTGTCCCTCACGAGGCCCTCTGCAAAGGTCGCAATCTCCCCATCCGGCTCTGCGGCACATGGGGGGATGGGGGCATGGCAAGGGGAGGGAGGGGGGTGGCAAGGCGGGGGATGGCAAGGGAATGCGGAGAGGAGTCAAGGCATCACCTCACGAGGCCCTCTGCAAAGGTCGCCCTCTCCCCAACCGGCTCTGCGGCACACGGGGTGGGGAGAGGGGTGAGGATGGCGGGACGGGAAGGGGAGAGGGGGGGGCAAAGGGAGGGGATGGGGGCAACGCAAGGGGAGAAATATGGGGACAAGGGAACGGGTGAAATGGTGACTTGGGGTGACCGGTCAGAAATAACCCTAATACCGAGGTTCCTTGAGCTGACTCAACTCAAAGATGTGGCTCCTATCTATCTGGGGCACCTCGAACAATGGGGACATGTGCACGGGTGAAGAGGAGGGGAGCGGGTCAAGAGAAAGAGAGGGAAGTCGAAAAAAATCCAGAACAGGTGGTGGGGAGGAGGAAGGCCAGGGGGGAGAGACGGCAGGGAGATGGCGGGAGGTGAACGGCAGGGAGAAGTAGCGAGGGAAGGGAAGTGATGGAGGAAGAAGAAAGAGAACGGACGAATGGGGAAAGGCGGTTGAAAAAGAGGACAGGTGTTTGTGGGGATTGGGGTGACGGGGTGGGAGGGTGGGTGGGAGGGTGGGAGGGTGGGTGGGAGGGTGGGAGGGTGGGAGGGTGGGAGGGTGGGAGGGTGGGAGGGTGGGAGGGTGGGATCGAGGGGGGGGAATAGGAAGCTCGAGAAAAGTGAGTAGAGGTGAAAGAATGGGATAGGTTCACAACAAGTGAGTGAAAGGCACGTTACCGTTGCTGTTCCAGCAGAAAGCGTCCTGCAGCCGTTGATCTCCGATCTCCAGGTCCAGTCGGACGGGCACGAGCGGGTCATCCACTAGACTGCAGGGCGGGACGGGGAAGAGCGGAGCAGAGAACAGAGCAGAGAACAAGAACAGGGCAGGGCAGGGCAGAGCAGAGCAGAGCAAAGCAGAGCAGAGCAGAGCATGGCAGGGCAGGGCAGGGCAGAGCAGAGCAGGGCAGAGCAGAGCATGGCAGGGGTGAATGGTGTGAAGAGCGGAGGTGAGATCTGCAGCATCGACGCGCCCCAAAGTGCAGGCGGCAGGGATGAATGGCGAGGAGGAGACAAACACAGTGCTTCTTGCTTAGATATGCCATGTGTGACGGAGCTTCATGCTATATAGATGTGATTTTTGAGTCGACGCGACAGTAATCACATGTTACGGAGCTTCATGCTCTAAATGTGATTTTTTAGGTCAAAACCATGCAGCGTTGGAGGTAAAACGATGGGATGAGTGGGGAGAGGGGGAGTTGAAGGGAGCAAAGGCGCGCAAGGAGCCATGGAAATCTCGTCGAAACTCGTTTGGAGCCAGAAGAGAAGCGACAATGTACAATCCCGTAGACTAAGGCCTTGAAGATTGTCGCTTCTCTTCTGGAAATCCAGACGAAACTCGTTTGGAACCAAACGAGACTCTAAAATCTACACGGATTCAAAAATTTAAACTTGACAACCCACCACTCTATACTGGGATTTATGCCAACCCTGGTCGGACTGTCGCGCCCTAATTACCGCATGGCTGATGCGTGGCTGTCGCGACTGCCGCCACGTGGTTCGCCGTTAGGTGCGCCGTCGGGTGCGCCGTTGGTATGATGCAATTATCACTTCCTCAGAATTCTCGATAACGATTCGCCTATAGGTGCGCGAGGCCGTCACTGTTGCGCTGCGACTTTCACGGCGAGACGCGTCGCTACAAGAGCGAACCCCCTCGGCTGTTTTACATTTCGCGCGAGGCGCAGTGGGAGCGTGAAGAGAGAAAGGGTCGCGAATAGCAGAGGGCTCAATCCTATCCTATCCGAGGGTCTGCTCGAGAGCTACCAGTAGGTCCCTCGTGCGGGGCTTTATCGTCAGGTCCTTAGTCGTATTCACAACCTCGTTATTGACTTCCGTACACTCGACTAAATATGCATTACAACTAAGAACAGATGAGCTAAAAAAACGGATTTCCATGAAAACGGATAAATGCATATACCGGTAAATGGATTCGAAAGCTCAGAAAAAACAGACAGAATTGTCTGTTAGCGAGGTATTAGTAGAACTGCTGAGCCACGCATAATTTGCTCTCAGCGGCTTGCCTTGTCCAGATGGGAAAGTACATGTAGTTTATGCTAGGGAGGACAAGTATTTATATACAGTACCAGAAAAAACAAATGTAGTTTATGCTAGGGAGGACAAGTATTTATATACAGTACCAGAAAAAACAAATCATCATATAAACCTACGAAATTCAGTAACTAAGGCGCTGGTTTTGGCTTGGATTGTTCGATCAGCTTCTTCAGCTTCTCTTCTGCTTGACTTGATATCACGCAAAATTGCTTGAGTGGCTCTGGCAGTGAATCGTGCACACTCCACCACCTCTTATGAGCCGCCTCGTTAGTGAAGTCGAAAAAATAGGGTATCAGGATGTTGCAATCAAACTCACGATAGCACCACCATGGCTTCATACCAAGGTAGTGTATAGCGTGGATTTCTGAAGGGTCTTCTGAAAACCACCTGCTTTTCATGTAGACGAGAGCTTGTTTTTTCACCGGGTCAGAGGTCCAGACCGGTTTAAGAATGTTTACGGAATCTGGTACGCGATGCCACCAGGTGAAGACATTGTTTAAGAAGCCCTGGGCAGGGGGAAGTATGAGGGAAAGTTGTGGAAAATTAAGTTGAGGAAATCGAGGGCCAAGGGATCTGACAAGAGTGATATCACCTGCAAAAGGGAGCTAGAGAGTCGCATCACATCTTGGTCTCACCTGGCCCCCATCGTCGGCCAATCGCATTCCTTTCAGCTTCACAACAGGCACCCGACATGAATATAATAAAATAACAACCGTTTGAACCTTCACCTTCCTTCCGCTGCAAGAGGGTGATAGGGAGTCGCATCACACTTCAAAACAACATGGTCTCACCTGGTCCCCTCCATTCTCCGATTGCACGCGCTCTAGGTTTGCCATCAGCAGGTCAAACATGCAATCCGACGGCTCCAAAACCATCGCGCCTGAGTTGAAATCCGTGCCGTCGTTTCCGCGAGCGGAAATCTCGGGGTAGGAGAAGAGAAAGTCAATGCTGTTCAAGAGGAGCAGGTCCGAGTCAATGAAGAGCAGCTTGGTGTACTCCGTCTGCTGCCACAGCCGCAGCTTGCTGTGATGTGAAGGGGGGGGTGGGGTAAGGGGAGGGCGTAGGGGGTCAATGAAGTCAACGAGAGTCAATGAAGAGCAGCTTGGTGTACTCTGTCTGCTGCCACAGCCGCAGCTTGCTGTGATGTGAAGGGGGGGTGGGGTAAGGGGAGGGCGTAGGGGGTCAATGAAGTCAACGAGAGTCAATGAAGAGCAGCTTGGCGTACTCCGTCTGCTGCCACAGCCGCAGCTTGCTGGGGCGGGGGGTGAGGGGGTGGAGAGGGGGTGGGGGAGAGGGGGGGGGGGGGGCGGGGGGGGGGGGGGAAGGGGGAGCGTATGTCAGATTGAGTCAACAAGCAAAAAGAAGATAGTGGCAGAAGTCATATTAACCCACAAAAGCAAAAATGAATCATTGATTGAATAAGAAATTGTGCACCTGGCACAAAACAAAAACATTTACTGAAGGTCAGTTGTGAATAATCAAGCCAATCGAAATTCAAAAGGTAGATGGGTGAAAGAGGCACAAGATTCACCAAGACAAATATTTCAAGAAAAGACCAAGTTAGACCTCGGATTTTTGCCAACCAACAAGCACACACTCCCCTTGCTATTAGCACACGCACCTCTAGCTCCACTCGCTACAAGCACACAAACTTGTAGTTCAGTACAAGCACACCGTAGTTGTACTCGCTATAAACACACAAACCTGTAATTCCACTCGTTATAAGTCCCATTGAGTGCGTGGGGATTGCGAATCCTCTCAATCTCCTTCACCGTCCACCCCGCCTCCTTGAGCCCTCGCTTGCTCTCCTCTTGAATCTCCTTCGATACAAGCACAACCATCTCGTGCCTGCTGCCCGTTCTCCTTATGCTTGCCCCAGTACTATTGCGCCACACACGTAGCGATCCGACGAGTGTAGCACTGTAGCATACGCGACGCGTTGGGTGGCTGAGGGGAGGGAAGAAAGGGACGCATATGGAAGGAGGGATTTCAATCATAAACGGATAGAAGTACGCTACTGTACATGCAGCGCAAGAGAGAAATACAATTGACAGCTTATAACTATGCCGCTCACCCCGTGTCTCCTACCTGCCATCTCGCTGTTGATAGGCTGAGCCATGGCGCATGATCCCAGGGGCTGTACACGTGTCAGCATGTCAGTGGTCGTCAGGTTGTACAACCACGTGTCGCCCTCCCGCGTCACGAGTCGCGAGCAGTGGAAGAGGTTGGGCGGCGGGTGGCATGCGGAGAGTAACACCACTGGTAACCACGTGCGATTGGCCTGTTACAGGAGAGATAGAACAAGGGGATTGGACGAAAAAGGCAGAGGGTAACACCACTGGTAACCACAGGGGGCGAACCTGGAACAGGGGAACCGAGAGAAAGGTTGGCTGAACTTCAGGCAAACCTTTTTCAAAAAGGTTCTAATGAAGGGGAATGGATGAGACGACACGAGGAGAGTAGCGTCATTGGTAAACATGGGCGATTCGCCACGCGACAGGGGGGATGGGAGAGAATGGATGAGACAACACTAGGAGAATAGCGTCACTGGTAACCACGGGCGATTTACCACGGTACAGGGGGATAGGAGAGGGTCAATGGATGACACGTGGATAGCAGGACCACTGGTAACCATGCCACGGGCGGCGAGGCTGCTACAAGATCGATGAGGGGGATTAGAATACAGTACCCTTATGACGAAGCTTGTTATAGTGAGAAGGTGGTGTAGCCAGCGAACATCCTTCGCCCAGGAATCGTTAGGCTCGTCGCAGGGCACATGTGCGACAATGGCGTCGATGCTGGTCAGCCAATCTGGATAGCTCGGTTCAGGAATTCTTGGGCAGGATGCGTCAGATTCGTTCACCCATACAGGGTACACGTCACTCCATGTCAGATTCTCGGGCACATGCGGAACGGGCAGCGAGAGAAGCTTGTAGCGCGTGGCGATGGAGGCGCTAGTAGCGGAAAGATCGAGATTGAACGTCGCGACATTGGCGAACGAAAAGCGACCTTTTTGCTGGAACGAGATCAGAGCGGCGAAAGCGCGATCGAAAGTGACGAGAGGGCCATCCCCTTCAGGCGGGGGCTTAGCCAATGGGGATTCAGCGGGTAAGGATACAGTCGGTGGGGAATCAGCAGGTAAGGATACACCCGGTGGAGACTCAGCAGGTAAGGATGCAGCCGCAAATCCTTCCTGGTAAACGCTCCCCAAAATATTAGCATCGAAAGGGCGGCGATCCGCCGCTAACTTAGCATGATTGAATGCATTTATATCGAACCACTTAATAGGCGAGTGCCACGTGGCAGAGTCCTTGAAAAAGTGGGAAGTTACGAGGAGCAGACCGAGCGCCACGACGAAGCAGCGCGCCGCTAAGAATGGCTTATCTTGAGGCGTGAGCTGCGGCAGTGAATTATAGGAGGTAGTCACTGGGTGATATGGCGAAGGAAGCGCTTCGCCCCCCTTCGGCGCACTATGCGCAGCACCGTTGATCATTGCGAAGCGGGTGATTGAACGGCTCAGTAGCACTCCGTGAGATTTCTTGTGGTGGTGGCACTTGTACTATCTTTTGGGAAAAAAGACATAGCTCAGAGCAGTTGAGCTGAGTCAAGAGGTTTCGGCTGCCAGCGAGCATTTGAGAAAGTTAAGGCAAACCGCACTCACGGCGGCAATCCAGAAGGTAAGGAGTAGTAGCGAAGGGTACGACTCACGACGATGGAAAGGGAAACAGCTGTTTCTGTCGTGTACATCAGCAGGGCCATTGTGCGCTTCGTTGTGTGTTTTTTGAGCTGGGGCTCGTGGAGGCACTTTCGTGTAGCGTGTAGGTCCGGGCGCCTTTGGTTTGGGGCTCGATTTGGGCTCTGATTGGCTACGAGGTACGACACCGCGGTGGAGCGTAACAACGAGGCCTGCGGGCGAAAGAACTGCATTTTCTTCGCCAAGCATGTAGGTTCCCAAACCAGCCTGCAAATTTTGGACAGAAGGGGCCAGCGCCACGATCAACCAGAATCCTTTGCGTGGCACGCTCTCTGGCCTTGACTGTGATAAGGCTCGGTAAACGCGACGCGATTGTAGGGGGAGCTACTACTGCTTGGCGCCGAACCTGTAGGTGATGTTTGGCGTATGGCGACATCCTTGAGGTCAAACAAGCCTGATCACACAAAAAACTTGCGCGAGGCTCAACAGGGTTGCCCTTGGCAACAAACCTGGTAACCGAGCTTCGCAAGAGCTTATGATTCGTAAGGCTTCTGCTCGTGCTGGAGAAGTCCCCTCGCGAGTGTCACCCTGGTTTGTTGGGGTGGCAGCTCCAATATACAGTATCTCGCTTTTACCGACTGTAGGACGATTTCGAAAGTTTTGGTCACTCTACATAAAACGCATCTAAACCCTTTTCGGTGTCTCTGAACTTTGTGCCTCTGGGTTGCTGTTACAGCTTCCGACGCCATGTCCTAAATTCCGAAGCCAAATTGCAGAATCCCGTAGCGCGTGCTTCCACCTGATCTGAGGTGGTAAGATCGAGAGCGACTGGGAGGGGATTTTTCTCGTTATCTTCGCGATTGTTCGTAACGCGGCGATGGCGGCGGCTGCGAAAGTAATTCGCCCGATAACGTTCGTGACGGGCAATGCGAAGAAGCTGGAGGAGGTGAAGGCGATCTTCGGGTCGTCCGTCGCCCTGCGAAGCCGGAAGATCGATTGTGAGTCTCCTTGCGACAGAGTATTACCTATGCGACAGAATTGGTTTCCTGAGCGACAAAGTTAGTACCCCTGCAACAGGAGTCGTCGCAGTGCCACATGAACAGCTCTGCGTCGAAAGCAGCTCTTGTGCCGCGAAATCGCAAGATCCACCCCCAGGGCCGTCTCAAAAGTCCTCCTGCAAGCTCCCAGAGCTTCCTGAATTTGAGTCGCTTTCAGAATTCCGCTTTCCAGGCTTTCCACCTGGCAGGTCTGAACCAGGGGGTCACTTCTCCCGCTGGGCTGCTGGAAGCCCCCGTTTCGCCCTTTCTCTCCTTTGTAGCGTCTGACCTGCATGTTTTCGCAGCTCTCTGTTCAAACTCGCTTCTGAACGGCTCATGGTTTTTTCTCCTGTCATACTCTCCAGTTGATCTTACGTTCCCTGCACAATCTTTTCACACAGGCTCCTGCCTCACCACTCCCTCCTCACCACTCCCTCCTCACCACTCCCTCCTCACCACTCCCTCCTCACCGCTTTTTCCACACTCTCTTTCCACTGTCTCCTCTCTCTCGCCCATGGCAGTACCAGAGCTGCAGGGCGAACCGGAAGACATCTCGAAAGAGAAAGCCAGACTCGCCGTTGCTGAAGTGACTTGTACCCGCTTTTGCTCCTCATACACTCTCCTCCACCCCTGTCCGTCACAGTACCAGAGCTGTTGCTCTCACTCTCTGCACTCTCACTCCTCACTCTCTCCATACTCCCTTGCATGGCAGTACCAGAGCTGCAGGGCGAACCAGAAGACATCTCCAAGGAGAAAGCCAGACTCGCCGCTGCGAAGGTAGCTGCCTCCCCCTTCCGCCTCTCCGGAATTTCCTTCTCCTTCTCAACATATAGCTTGCTCGTTCCCGACCCCTTCCCCCCCTGTCATCTAGTTGCATGCTCGGTCCTTTTGATGTGCAACGTTTGTTTGGAAGCGTCTAAAGAAATCGATATGGTCGTATTCACTGGCCCGCATTTGCGTGCATTTTGTTCCGTGTGTAGTGGTAACCCGCATGTGTGGTGTTTCCCGTTCTTGTAACATGCATGTGCGGTGTTTCCCGTTCTTGTAACATGCATGTGTGGTGTTGCCTGTATTTATAACGTGCCTGTATGACGTTTCGTGTGATTGTGACAGGTGGACGGTCCAGTGCTTGTGGAGGACACGTGTCTCTGCTTCAATGCGCTCAACGGCCTGCCAGGTAGGGAGGGGGAAGGGAGAGGGGGGAGGGGGGGGAGGGGGGGGGGGGGGGGGGGGGGGGGGGAGGGTAGAGGGGAGTGTAGAAGAGGGAGAAGAGGGGTGAGTGGAGGAGGAGGGGAGGAGGGGAGGAGAGGACGGGTGAGTGGAGAAGAGGGGTGGAGGGGAAGAGGGCTGGAGAGAGGGAAGAGTTAGTACGTGTGTGAGATAAAAGGAAAAGAGGAGAGGAGGGCGGATGGAGGGAGTGTGGGAGGGAGAGGGGAAGACGTGAAGGCTCTAAATTTAGCCATTTATATCGACCTCTGAGATAGCACATGATTTTCTGTTCTTCTATTTCTTCCTGGCACTTTGATTTTTTTTTTTTCCCCTTCCCACTTTTTCGGGTCCTGCCTGTTCTCACGCATTCACTCGCTTGTTCCTTCTCCCCTGTTTCAAATCCATGTCTCCTGTTGTGTTCACCGTGCATGTCAACCGCTGTGTGTCGCTTGCTGCTTTATTGTTGACTGCTGCAGGCCCATACATGTAAGTCACACTGTTGCTGATTTGATTTTTTTGTCGGTTTACATTACTATTAGCAACTTCCATGCATGCAAGGAACTGCATATCACAACAAGCCACATGCGTGCTTGTGAGTGAGTCACTTTTGAGAATCCTCAAAAGTGATACCTGTAAGCACTAAACCACTTCCATACATGTTGTTAAGTCAGGCTACCGCTGGCCTGTTAGTCAGATTCAACTGAAAGCAGACTGTTTGTCTGCGAGTCCTCACAGTGCCCTGTTAGTCTGCGAGTCCTCACAGTGCCCTCTCTCCTCACATTCCCCCTTCCGTTCCTTGTCTGGTAACAACTTTGTCTTCTGTTTTGTTTCAGGCATCTGTGCCATTTAGGCTATCTGCTTCTGTTTTCTCTCTTAACTGCTTCCCTTCTGCATTTTGTCTTCTCATTTATATTTTATTTCCGCGGGCTGAGACTCGAGGCATTGTGGTTGCTTCCTTATAAGCTTCGTGTCGTGTGTATGTGTGAATTGTTGCGATGTGGTGCTTTTGTGCTGGTGTGGTGGTATCGTGCTGTGGTGTGTGTGCTTCAACTGCTAGCTCCTATGTGTGGAGGGTCGTTTGTAGTTATGTACAACTGAAATTTGATTGTTCTTGTGCCGATGCTGTATATTGGATGCATGCTTGACGGAATGGTTAAACTGAATGGTTGACTGCATGTTTGGCTGCAGAAAGTGGTTTCTGGACAAGACCGGACATGAAGGTCAAATTCTCTCATTCACATGCACTCGTTTTCTGATACCCCTTGTACTCTTTTTGTGCCTGTCACATGTACGCGTCGTTTTCACTTGCAGTCTGCTTCCTCCCATGCAGACATTCTTTGTCACAAGCAGTCGTCTACTCACATCACATTTAGTCGGCCGTTCACAGTTTTCTTTCCCCCACACACGCCATTTTGGAAGTGTGGAACAGTAGCTGTCAGTAGGAGACAGGTGGGCTGCGGAGGTCTTACTTCCATCAACTCCTGTGGTTAATAGAACGACGAAACAAACCCCATGAATGGATGGAAGTGTGGAACAGTAGCAAGTAATTTTAGTGGTTCTAGTGCTGACCCCCTACCATACTGCACCCACCAACCTATCTAGCAGTGCCAACCTGTGTGAACGCCCTTCCCCTGTTCCCATCCGTTCCCATCCGTTCCCATCTATTCCCATCCATTCCCACCCGTTCGTATTGTCCTATCGCCAGGTCTGAACAACCTCTTGGCAGCATATGAGGACAAGTCTGCCTATGCCCTCTGCATCTTCTCCCTCTGCCTGGGCCCCCAGCATGAACCCCTCAGCTTTGCTGGACGGACAGAGGTATGACACACGGTTTAGAAGGGTGTTAATGGAGGTACGCATGAATCCCTGAGCTTTGCTAGAAAGCCAGAGGTATGGATGAAGGTGTGGCATACGGTGTAGAAGGGTATGGATGGTGAGGTGTATCATGAGGGGCAGAGAGAGGGAGCGCCAGACACAAGTCCACCGACGCTCTCTGGATTTTCTCTCTCTGCCTGGGCTCCCAGCATACACCTTCGATCTTTGCTGGAAGGACAGAGGTAAGGATGGAGGTGTGGCATATGGTGTAGAGAGGTAAGGATGGAGGTGTGGCATATGGTGTATAGAGGTAAGGATGGAGGTGTGGCATATGGTGTATAGAGGTAAGGATGGAGGTGTGGCATATGGTGTATAGAGGTAAGGATGGAGGTGTGGCATATGGTGTATAGAGGTAAGGATGGAGGTGTGGCATATGGTGTATAGAGGTAAGGATGGAGGTGTGGCATATGGTGTATAGAGGTAAGGATGGAGGTGTGGCATGTGGTGTAGAGAGGTAAGGATGGAGGTGTGGCATATGGTGTATAGAGGTAAGGATGGAGGTGTGGCATATGGTGTATAGAGGTAAGGATGGAGGTGTGGCATATGGTGTATAGAGGTAAGGATGGAGGTGTGGCATATGGTGTATAGAGGTAAGGATGGAGGTGTGGCATGTGGTGTAGAGAGGTAAGGATGGAGGTGTGGCATATGGTGTATAGAGGTAAGGATGGAGGTGTGGCATATGGTGTATAGAGGTAAGGATGGAGGTGTGGCATATGGTGTATAGAGGTAAGGATGGAGGTGTGGCATATGGTGTATAGAGGTAAGGATGGAGGTGTGGCATGTGGTGTAGAGAGGTAAGGATGGAGGTGTGGCATATGGTGTATAGAGGTAAGGATGGAGGTGTGGCATATGGTGTATAGAGGTAAGGATGGAGGTGTGGCATATGGTGTATAGAGGTAAGGATGGAGGTGTGGCATATGGTGTATAGAGGTAAGGATGGAGGTGTGGCATATGGTGTATAGAGGTAAGGATGGAGGTGTGGCATATGGTGTATAGAGGTAAGGATGGAGGTGTGGCATATGGTGTATAGAGGTAAGGATGGAGGTGTGGCATGTGGTGTAGAGAGGTAAGGATGGAGGTGTGGCATATGGTGTATAGAGGTAAGGATGGAGGTGTGGCATATGGTGTATAGAGGTAAGGATGGAGGTGTGGCATATGGTGTATAGAGGTAAGGATGGAGGTGTGGCATATGGTGTATAGAGGTAAGGATGGAGGTGTGGCATATGGTGTATAGAGGTAAGGATGGAGGTGTGGCATGTGTTGTAGAGAGGTAAGGATGGAGGTGTGGCATATGGTGTATAGAGGTAAGGATGGAGGTGTGGCATATGGTGTATAGAGGTAAGGATGGAGGTGTGGCATATGGTGTATAGAGGTAAGGATGGAGGTGTGGCATATGGTGTATAGAGGTAAGGATGGAGGTGTGGCATGTGGTGTAGAGAGGTAAGGATGGAGGTGTGGCATATGGTGTATAGAGGTAAGGATGGAGGTGTGGCATATGGTGTATAGAGGTAAGGATGGAGGTGTGGCATATGGTGTATAGAGGTAAGGATGGAGGTGTGGCATGTGGTGTAGAGAGGTAAGGATGGAGGTGTGGCATATGGTGTATAGAGGTAAGGATGGATGTGTGGCATCTGGTGTAGAGAGATGGAGGTATGGCATATGGTGTAGAGAAGTTAGGATGGGTATGGGTTAGACGAGTGATGCAAGCTGCAGGTAGGGACCAAAATGCATTCTGTAGTGTAATTGCCAAAATGCAGCAGCAATTGAGGCAGGAATGCAAATTTATCTCAACACACTGCCTTCTGCTCCCCCCCTTCCCCCACCCCCTTTCGTCCCCCTTACACACACACCCGCACACACATACACATGCACCCACCAACACATCTCCACCCACACACCCACATAGATGAAAGCTCTTATCTGTCTGCTTTGACTTAGAACCAGCCCATATTTCTTTGGCCTTTTGTTTGCCAGGGCAAGATAGTCCCAGCAAGAGGCCCTAAGGATTTCGGCTGGGATCCTGTGTTTCAACCTGATGGCTTTGATCAGACGTGAGTTGTGCTGTAAGTTGATTTCTCTATGGTTGCAAATGGGTACCCATTTCCTATACAATGTTGCTCTTTTGTTCGTTAATGGTCCGATCATGGTTGTTCATGGCGCCATGTCTTGCCTGTTTTTCACTGTGGCAGTTATGCAGAAATGCCGAAGGAGACCAAGAACCAAATATCTCACAGACGACGGGCACTCGACCTAGTAAAGAAGCACTTTCAAGAAGAGAAATTTGTGTTTGAGGATGTGGACGACGAGCAATCACAAAAAAAGGCACGGATTGATTCGTAGGTCTGTGTTTCCTTTTTCGATTCTTATGTTTCGTTTTCCATAGAGAATGGCTGTGTCAGCCAATGTGTAGAGAAATAATTCGGAGTGACTCCACTTTCTAACAAGTGGAATGGAACTTCTCAAACCTGATGTAAAGCTTTTGTTTAACAAAAATGATGGTGTGGTATACACCTTTAGCTTGTCTAAAGTATTTTCCCGCCAGAATTCCAATTCTGTCAGGGAGTCAGTCACTTTGTGGATAATGTGGCGGTCCGGGCGAACTGTCTCTCGAATTTGCCGTTCAAATTCCATCTTGTGGAGCAGTCTTTCAATCAGCTTGTCAAACGGTCAACAGTGTCTGACTGCCTGCTCGTTTCCCCTCTTCCCTCTGTCCGTCTGTTATTTCCCCTTGCATCTCCAGCCAAGCGCATATTCCTGACTGTCCGACACGGTATTCTTCCAATCACATTCGCGATGTCGTGGAGGCGTCAAGTCTGACGATTTCATTGTCAACAATCCGTCCTGCCTGATGCTCCATGTCTGTCCACCAGCTAACAATAGAAGAACAAGCTTTGAGGAAATGATTGTTTTGCTGAGATTCCAGGATACTGATACTGTTGTCTAGGTAGAGTTTTAATGACAGGGACCGATGGTTACTGAGGCACTCCTCAGAACAAACCACTTCAGAACTCTAAATCGAACACTCGTGTTGGACGGAGCGGACTTGAAGGTTTGGATACTCCGTTGCCTGTCACAGCCGTGACATCCATCACCATGTCGTTACCGAGCAAACCGACGATTTCGGGAATGACATGAAAGAATAACCATTCTCCGTAGCTGTGTTACGTCCGTCCAATCAGATTCCTTCAACCCTGCGATAGTTTGCCGTAAGCATGGAAATGATGGGAAGACATGGTGGTGACATCCTCTGTCACGTTACAGTACGCAAGGAGACTGGAGGTGCTCCGTGGATCGGTGGATGGACGTACTCGTCTGTGCCTTGCAGCGCCAGGAACACAGGAAGCGATGAGACCAGAGATTCAACAGATTCAATTTGTGAGAACTTTCCGGCAGAATCTGCTGCTGAAGCAGTGATGCCAAGCTCAGATATGCTAGAAATGAGCAAGGACGTTGCATCCGTTGTAGGGGAAAGGAAAGACGGAGAACCGAGACTTTTAGCAGATGCTGGACCGGGATTATCGACGGAGGTAGCCGAGTTACTCGTTAAGAGAGACGAGGAATGGAAGAAAGAAGTTGCGAAGCTTCTAGCAGAGACCAACAGGCTGAAGCTATCAAAGGACCAGACGATTCGTACACTACGGCATCGCGTTGAAGAGGAACGGACGAGAAACAAAATCTTGAAGCAAAAGGTCTTTGACCTGGAGGGAGGGAAACGGGACACTTCGGAGATGCCGTTGGAAGAATTTGATGACGAAAGAGCAACGCCGTCTGCCGAAAATAGTCTTGCAACAGTGGATGGCTATTGCCAGACTCCTGCTGGTGGTACACATGCTTCTCGCTCACAAGCCAAGCCTCAATCTGCCGTTAGCTCGACAGCAGACGAGACCCTTCACGAGGTAAGTTACACGATGACGTGTGAACGGACATTCAGGATGTGCATCCGTTCCTAATCATTACTGAGTTTCTCACGTGTTCTTTTGAAACTTGCAGGTTAATCTTAAGGACGCGGAAATTATTGCTAATCTACAACTTGAACTTACGTCTCTTCGTTCTCAAAAAGAGATGCCCACATCTGAGCTGGAATCACTCCGCTCCGTTATATCCAACGAGCAGCAGCGAATGAGAATCGTGGAGCAGCAAAGGGATGAGGCGTTGGAGGGAGCGAGAGAAGCAGAAGTAGCGCTAGGCATGGCTGAGCGAAAGCTCCAAGAACAGCATCAACAGATCTTGAAAATGCAAGCGGAAGGCGATGCAGACGGAGGCTGGCGAATCAAAGGACTTGTTCCGGCATCACAGGTAAAAGACGACAACTTCAGCAGCACTTATTGTCTCCACAGCTCCGCGTTTTGCGACAATGTCATGAAAGGTTTTTCCCCCAAGCAATATATCACCTCTCTTATCTCCGTTTTATTGTAATTTGCAGCTAGACGAGGCTCAGAAGCTCATGGGGGATCAGCTCAGAGAAATTTCAGCGCTGAAAAGTGAGCTTAAGACTTTTAAGGCTTCATTTGAAGCTCAAGCTTTGCGGCTGAAGATTGTGGAAGGCGAGCTGGCAGAAAAAGTTGACGAGGTCAGACAGGCGAAAGAAGCGCTGGTGGCGGCTGAGGCTGAAAATAACTGTCTATCAATGGAGAGAAGCGAGCTGAAGGATGAGATAGGCCGATTGCAAGCAGAGATTGCGGACCTGACTGCCTTGAAGGCTGCTGGCGAGGAAAGGGAGAGGAAGAGCGAAAAGGTTATTGAAGATTTGCAGTCACGGTTTGTAGAGATGGAGAGGCAGAAGGATGAAGCCGTGAAAGAGATCAAGAAGGTGTTGGGAGCAGTGATTTCAGAGGTCCAAGAAGAGAAGGAGAAAGTCGGAGTGGAGCTGGCAGAATCTAGAAATACGGCCGAAGAATTGGGGAAGTGGGTATCAGAGCTGAAAGAAATGATTCAGGAGATGCAGTCGAAGATTGAAGACATGGAGGGAGCTGCGAATACGCGGGATGCTGAGATCGATGCCTTGAGACAACAATTGCAGGCTGAAGAGCAAGAGGTGAGGGTCAAGGAGAAGCAGATTGTAAAACTGACTGCTGACACAAAGACACTGAATGAGTTGATGTCCAAGGCAGTGGAGAGCAGGCAAGGTATGGAAGTTCACCTAGAGGCGAAGGGGAGGGAGGTGGAGGAGATAAAAGGCGGATTGAGGCAGGCCGAAACAAAGGTCGCAGCACTGGAGAGGGAGCTGTCATGGAAGGATGGCAGGCTCAGGGCCGTGGAGGAAGATGCTCAGACGAAGCAGCTGCAGTTAAGGCGATTGGAGGGCCAATTGGTTGAAGTGCAACAACAGGTGGGGGTGGTGCAGCGTGAGAAGGAGGCTTGGATGGGCCGGTTCTGGGCACTGGAGCAGGAGAAGACTTCATTGGATGCAGAACTGTATGAGCTGAGTCACCAGATGCTGATGAAGGAGAGGGAGGTGCAGGCATTGCAAGCTGCTCAGGGCTACGGGCTGGATTCGGACTGAAACTTGACAGTCAGGACTTCGTGGTACGAGTGAGCTTTGTTAGTTACAGCGATCTCCAACATGGTGCATTGGTTAACACACATTGCTAACAAGCTTTACATTGTAAAATTAGTTGCCAGAACACAGAAACTCAGTGCAAAATACACATTGAGACTATGCATCGTTTAATTTATGTTATGGTACATGATCCCATGCTCTCCAAAAAGCCATCAGACAAAGACATGTATACACGAGTCCTATATTTAGCCGGATCCTTTTCGTCTGTTGTATTGGTGAAGTACTTCTCAAACAAGAGGCTGCCTGGATACTTGCCTTGTGAGCGAATCCATTCATAAAGAGCCTTGTACGAGTTCCCCAATTTCTCGTACGGCCCAATGTGCCACATGGCTGCTGCCTTCACTTCGGGATGCGGCACCACAATGATGCCGTTTGCAGGGTCGTCTGGCACTACACGTTTGGGGGGGATTGAACAGTGCGTGAGATCAGGCAAACTCTGAAGTCAACACGACATTGTGCGAGGTTCCAATAGAACCAGAATGTACAATCACTTCAAATGCCTCAGAAGGTAATTTTGTTATAAAAAACACATAATTTTCCAATCACTCAACGCGGCAATGATGGAAGGTTCGTTAGCGCCCCACGTACATTGTGAAGAGATATTCTTTGAAATGCTACAGGACGCAAGGAACTGAGGGCGGGCAAGCATACCTGTTTTGTCTGGCGAGGAAAGCTTGAAGGGAATCCCACACTCCACGCGGGTGAGGAGAGGCGTGAAGAAGTAGTAGATGGAATAAGGACGGCCATCCTTCTCTGCTCCGCACTGGCAAGGACGGGTAAAAGGTGGGCCATTCAGGACGGGTCCTTCTGAAGGGACTCGAAAAGTGGGAAAAATGGAAACAAAATAGGCTGTAACTCAAGCCAGTCGCTGCTGGCACTGTGTTTCTGTGAATCACCCCCAGAAATACTTATTTGCGCGTTTTAGGGAAAGAGCCAAAGCGCACAGAAAGTTCAAACAACGGTCACCTTCTCCAAATGCGACTCGAGCATTGGGAAGGTGGTGCTGCAATTCTGGGCGATGCCGGATGGATGCTGTCAACAAGACTAGGCAAGAATGATTGAAAGGAGAGAGGTTTCACTAGCAGCAGTTGGGGTACATATAGCAAACCCTAACTGGGTTGTACTCGCTATAGAGCACCCCACTACAGGCTAGACAATAATAACATTCTGACACACCCCCATAGCCAAAGTGGGGTGTAATCAGTACAATGAGCAGGCATAGCAATAGTTCACAATTATAAGCAAAGCTAGATGTGATCATAGAGGGCAAGTGAGGAGGAGGAGAAACTGTGAGGGCGAGAAGATGAAAGGCGCCGACTGAAGCTGCAGACACACGGGCAACAGGAGCGGCGCGCACAGTGGCTACCGAGCGCACGAGGGCACCGGACTACGGGAGTATCTGGCTCCGCGGCTACGACGAGCACACACAGGAGCAACGGACCCACAGGCGACTGGCGAAGCAGGCTCGCTGGGCTACCGAAACGCGCGAGGGCATCCGGACTACTGGCGCTGCTGGCGTCACGACGGCTACCTCCACGCAACCTCCCCCGACCGTCCCACGCCCCTCTCACACACCCCCTGCTGACACCCTAGCTCCACTTCCACGGCACCCCCCTTAAACCCTAAACCCTCGGCTCCCACACACCCACCCCCCTGAGCGGCAGCTGCAGCAGTGGGAGACGGAGGAGGAGGAGGAGCCGCAGGTTACCCACACCGGTCACCCCCATGCCCGCCACCCCCAAACCCTAACGCAGGCAGGAGCGCGGGAAACAGCAGGGGCGGGGCACGGAGGGAAAGGGAGGCAGCGGGGTGGCTCTTGGGCGCCACGAAGAAGCAGGGCGCGGGCCCCCCGAGGGCGCCACGGCGGGTGACGGGAGGGGGGCCGCGCACGGGCCCCCGAGGGCGGCTCGACGGGCGACGGGAGGGGCCGCGCGCGGGCCCCCTAGGCGCCGCGACGAGGCGACGGGAGGGGGCGGCGCGCGGGCCCCCAAGGTGCCGCGACGAGGCGACGGGAGGGGGGGGACGCGCGGGCCCCCAGGGCGCCGCGACGAGGCGACGGGAGGAGGACGACGGGGGGCAGCGCGCAGGTCCCCGGGGGCGCCACGACGGGCAGGAAACCGCCGCGCGCCTCGGGGCGCACGGCGGGCAGAAAACCGCCGTACGCCCTGAGCGCACGGCGGGATGAAAAACCCTAAAATTTTTCGCCGCGCGCGGAGCGCGCGGCAGGAAGAAGACGGCGCGCGCCCGAGGCGTGCGAGAAGCAGAATAGCAGCGGAAGCAGTTAGGTGGCGGGCCCACCCACAGGATCGACCCAAGGGGGTCGACCTGCTCTGATAGCATGTCAACAAGACTAGGCAAGAATGATTGAAAGGAGAGAGGTTTCACTAGCAGCAGTTGGGGTACATATAGCAAACCCTAACTGGGTTGTACTCGCTATAGAGCACCCCACTACAGGCTAGACAATAATAACATTCTGACAGATGCAGCACTGCGCGCCGAACGACCGCCGTCATGCCTTTCGGCAGGCTCACGAATTCGGGAATTTCAGACGCCGCGTCAGGGTTCTTCTTCTCTCCAGCCATGATGGTATTGCAACACGAACGAAGGACCGTGAAAGTATATAAAACGAGAGGAAAAGTAGGCTTCGTGAGACTTCTTGTCTTGGCTTATTTTTTTAGACATCTAAAAGCGCGTGCGGGCGAGCTTGGTTCAAGGAAGTTCCTTCATGAGACTTCTTGCCTTGGCTACTCTTACAAGCTCACGAATGGTATCGCGCGCGTCATGTACGGACTCACGCTGCATCAACCCCCACAAGAACAGCGTGGAACAGAGCTTCCACCCTGATTGGGCAGCTGCGAGCCGGACTCAGAAAGCATCAAATGGTTTGGGGAGATACATTTTACGGTTTGCAGCGGTTTCTGTTTCTTCAAAACGTTTCGAATCGGTAATAAACGTCGCTCTCGGAATCTTTTATCTTCGTCGTCAGCTTCACGGCAAGAGGAATGCGCGCCCCAGCTGACATCGCAAGAATGAGGGGCCAATAGCAGCACGCTCGCTGATCCGCGTTAATGAAGTGAATTACTTAGTGTGTAAATTTTTGTAGATGCTTTTTAACGTTTTTAACGTTTTTAACGTTTTAGTACAATAAACATTTAGCTGTTCACAAGAGCCAGAATAGTGAGGTTGGGAATGAGCACCGTCTGAGGCAGTGGCTTAACAGTCTTGGGGGAATCACTGCTCTCCTTAACCCACTCCTGAATATACCTCCTCTAGCACGTGAAGCCAACTGCAGCGATTAGGGTCCTGCATATGCGTCTGCCAGCGCACACAAAAAGGAAGAAAGAAGACAAGCGACACGACATTGTCAGGACGGGGAGGAAGAATTGAGCACTGTGCGCCACACACTTAGCAGGCAGGGACATACAAAATTGAAAATTATAAGGCAGGAAAGAGAGGCATGGTCAGGCAGGTAACTCACTGTTGTGCACTCGAATAGCTGCAGGTACCTCAAGATTCATCCTACATACCTTGTCGCTAAAGGGCACATGACAGGAGCTTCCACTCACATGATCCAACAAGACTTTCAAGCTAGGGGATTAGCTTCTCCTCCTTCCCAGGGCATCACCTCTTCCTCTCCGCCTCGGCCCACTGCCCCACATGCCTCAGCTCCGGAAACACACACCCCATGAAGTCCGGCCGAGCCTCAGTATCGTTCAGCACACACAGCAGCACCTTCGCCAGCGCTCTTTCAGCCACCTTCCGCGGCCAGCCAAATCCCAGCCACAGGAGCCAGGCAGCACAAGTATAGCTATACTATGGTACATGATCCCATGCTGTTATCAGACAAGGACATGTATACACGAGTCCTGTATTTAGCAGGGTCTTTCTCTTCCATTGGATTGGTGTAGTATTCCTCGAACATGAGGCTGCCTGGAGATTTCCCCTGTGACCGAATCCATTCACAAAGAGCCTTGTAAGTGTCCCCCAGTTTCTGATACGGCCCAATGTGCCACATGGCTGCTGCGTTTACATCAGGTCGGTCCACCACAATGATGCCGTTTGCAGAATCTTCAGGAACTGAACGTTCGGATACATGGGGTTGGGGTGATAGGGCAGAGCGGAAATCAACGTTTTCCGAGGTTCCAACTGAATGTTCACCAAACTCACACGCATATACTGTGATGGAAGGAGAGCAGTGGAATAAGACAAAAAATTCTCAGATCTTTCTCATTGCAATCACACAGCATCGACATGAAGCTCCTAGACATAACCAGAATGGGAAAGTATACTTGGATGCTGCGTCACATGAGGAGCTGAGGGGGAAACGACCTCACCTGTCTTGTCCGGCGAAGAGAGCTTGAAGGGAACGCCGAGCTCCATGCGGGTGAGGAGAGGCGTGAAGAAGTAGTAGATGCAATAATAATGGCCGTCCTTCTCCGCTCCGCTCTGCCAGAAATACAAAATCGAGGACGGAAGGTGGGGAGCGTGAAAGGTGCTTCACGCGCTCTACTTCTAAAGAAACTTGAAAAATGGGATCGCGGCGAAAGGAGAGCTACACGTCAGACACAGCGATGCGAGAAAGCTACATGAGTACGGGCGTAAAGCGGGGTTTGCGAGGCATGCAAAAAGACCCCGTCAAAGTTCTTCGCTATGAGGGCAGTCGATGGTAAGAACGGATCGAGACGGAGATAACAAGGGCGACTAGTAGCTCTTCCATCGGGCTGACCGAAGCAGCGGGTTGCATAGGTGGAAACACTGCTTGAGAGATGAAGCACCACGGCGCGCAGATCGGTGCGAGGCGGTTCACCTTCTTCAAATGGGATTCGAGCATTGGGTAGGTGGTGCTGCATTCCTGGGCGATGCCAGATGGATGTACCGTTGCGCGCCGAGCGACCGCCATGCCTTTCGGCAAGCTCACGAATTCAGGAACTCCTGATGCCACGTCAGGAATCACCGCCTCTCCAGCCATGCTTGCAATATCGCCCCACCAAACGGAATGGACCGTGGAATTTATAGAACGAGGTATAAGTGAGCGCTTCTTCGAAACTCTAGAAGTACGTTATGCTGAACTAACGAGCAGGCTCCGTAAAACTACTATCCTCGGCTGCTCCTGGGACATTTTCTTTATGCTCTTCACTCTTTATGCTCCCCGCTCTCCCTCGCGTATGAACACCTTGCACTGCTGGGCAGCAGGGCGGCTGAGTGGTGGGGTGTAAAAAAGGTTGTCACTTCAAAGCATTTTGGTAGGATTCTGTCCGTGTCAGAACGGTTTTTGACATTAATCAACGGTTACGAAACCTTATCTTTTTCGTCAGCTTCACGGCAAGAAAAAGATACCTTGTTTGCTGCTGACACCGCAGGAATGGCGAGCCAATCGCATTGTCCCTCGCCGTTCTGCTTATCCGTACAGATCCCCGCTTATGAGGGCGCGTAAAAAAAGTTCACATTAGTACGTTGGAATGCGTTTCTGTGCGTTTCGGGAGCGTTTCGCATTAAGTTCTCTACGTTTGAGTAGGGTTCTGTAGCGAGAACGAACTCTTATAACACGCCCTCAGTGTCTGTTGAAATGCTCGCCGCAGTGTACTATTGTCTAAGTCAACTTAACTTGGTTGGTTCATTCTATTCTGGCCAGACAATGCTGACAAGGATGCACTGGTTCTTAACAGATTACAACAATATAAACACTAGAGCAAAACACAAAAAAAAAAAAGCTTTTTACAAACACATTTAGCTGTTCACAAAGGCCAGAATAGTGAGATTGGGAATCAATGCCTTGTGAGACAGGGGCTTCCCAGTCTTGGGGGAGACACTGCTGTCCTTAAACCACTTCTCGATATACCTCCTCTCGTACGTGTAGCCATCAGCAGCAATCACAGGGTCCTGCATACGAGTCTGCAAGGAGACGCACCAAAACGAAACAAGACAAGGGACATGGTCAGGGCAGGAAGGAAGAATTGAGCCATGTGCGACAGAGTCGAAGCAGCCAGGACACCAAGGATCTGAAATCTAGTATGGTCAAGTTTCAACGTACGGTACATGTTTTGTTGTAACCAGGCATGTGCCTTGACTTTCGAGTCAAACAAAACAACATGCCAACTGACTAGCTGGCTCATTCTTGGCCCAAGTCTCACCTCACTCAGCGGGCAGATGAGCTTCTCTTCCTGCCCCAAGAGAAATCCCGAGTTAAGCAAAACAACAGACCATGACTACCTGGTTCAAGCCTGCCCAACTCTCACCTTGCTCAGCGGGCACATGAGCTTCTCCTCCTGCCCTGGGCACCGCCGCTTCCTCTCCGCCTCCGCCCACTGCCCTACATGCCGCAGCTCCGGAAACACACACCCCACGAAGTCCGGCCGAGCCTCAGCATCGTTCAGCACACACAGCAGCGCCATCGCCAGCATCCTCTCAGCCACCTTCCGCGGCCAAATCCCAGCCGCAGGATCTAAACAGCACATGAACTCCTCCACTGCTGCCTCCACTGCCCCGCCCGCCCGCTTGAACGGCATCAGCTGCTTGTGCAATGCGCGGATATTCGGCTGCCCGAGCAGCAGCTGGAGAATTATCAACCCGAGCGCGTACACATCGCTCCTCCCCGTCAACTCCCCTGTCTGCATCTCCGAAGGGTCTATGTACCCGACAGACCCGGACAGACGCCACGTTTCCGGCAGCACCTCGCCCTGCCCCACAAACTGGGCAATCCCTGCGTCGCCCACCTTGCTGCGCTTGTTTCTGTCCAGAAGGATATTTTCCGGTCGCAGGTCCCCGTGGACGATGGGCGGGTCGTGGCAGTGCAGGAACACTAGGGCTGCTGCCAGCTCGCACGACACACGGATCCGGTCGTGCCACGTCAGCGGGGCCCACGGCTTGGCGCCGGGGGTTTTGGCGAGGCGCTCGAGGAGGGAGCCTCCTGGGAGGTGCTCGTAGACTATGCAGCGCTCCTCAGGGCACTGACCCATCATGAGGGCCACGTGCGGGTGGCGAACTTTGGACAGTATGCTCACTTCTCGCTGGAAATCCTCCTCCTCGCACGAGCTTGCGTGCTCGAGGCGTTTGATTGCGACTGTAGAGCCGAAGAGCGTACCCTTGTGGAGAGTACCGAGGACGGTTTTAGTGAGGACGGTTTTTGGGGAGAAGTGGTCGGTGGCCTGGAGGATCTCGGCTCGGGAGAAGGTCCGGCACTCGGTGGAGGGCCGGGAGGACTCGGTGGAGGTTCGGGATTCGGTTCGGAAGAGGAGGGAGGCGCTGCTGGCTTCAGAGCGAGCAGGCGACCAGGCTGAGAGGCTGCTGGAGGAGGAATACTGTTGGAGACAAGGGAGAGGAAGACACGTGGGGAAGGGGAAAGGAAAAGGAGAATGGGGGAATGGGAAAGTGTAGAGTGAGCATTTTGGACTGGTTAGCAGTACACTCAAATAAAACAGAGTCTGTTACTGCATGAGGAGTGGACCGGCGACCAGGCTGAGAGGCTGCTGGCAGATAAATACTGTGGGGCGGACAGCTTACCTTGGTTGAGAACTCGCCAGTGACAAACGTGATGCCCTCCTCCTGCTCCTCCTCCCCCCTCACCCTCTCCCCCTCCCTAGCTGCACTGTCCAAACTACCCCTGTGGCGGTTACTGTTACTCCAGTTGTTGCGGTGGCTGGTGGTACCGCCACTGCTGCTGCGGCTGCTGATGCTGCAGGGGCTTTCCACCTCGGGGAGAGAAGCACAGGCAGAGTATAGAAGCGACTCCTGGGGCGAATTATGACTCAAGTCAAGGGCTGCCCCGCACAGAGGTGCCAGCGCAGGCCGAGGCATGGAGGGCAACTGCATGGGCTCAGGGGTGCATGGCATGTGCGCTCCCCCCAACACACCCTGAGGGGTGGAGGGCATGTGCACGGCACCCAACACACCCTTAGGGCTGGAGGGCAGCTGGGCAAGGGCCGCAATGGAGGAAGATTTGGTGAGGCCAAGACCGGGTGGGGTTGTGGGTGGGTTGGGGTTGGAAAACGCCTTGGGAAGGCGAGGCGTGGTGGGTGCTTGGGCGGGAGAGTCAGCGAGGTGAGTACTACCAGGTGACTTGGGCAGGCGAGGGGTGGTGGGAGCTTGCGCAGGGTCATGGGGGCTGGACGGTGACAGGGACAATCGAGGGCTGTTGGAGGCCATTTCGAAAGGGTGATCTGGGATGGATAGCGCTCTGGGTACCTGAGGGGTAGGCGACTTGGAGGAGGCGGAGCTAGGGGGTGAATTGGGGAGGGTAGCGAGGGCAGATGGTGGAAAGGGGCGGCTGCGAGAGAAACTGTGACGCCCGGGTGGTGTGGCAGGCGGGTTAGGCGGAGGAGACTGCCCAGCTGAACCTCTATCCGACCCTGCGAAGCTGGCTTGGTGCTGAGGCTGTACTGTGCTCATGGCACGTCCCAGAACCTCCTTTCCCGCCTCCTCCTCCTCATCCTCTTCCTCTCCCTCCTCCAGCTCGGGAATGCTCGCAGCACTGCTGACAGAGCAGCTGGCCATGGAGCGAGCCACAGGGGACTTGGGCGGCGTTGGTGGCCGGGAGCGCAGATTCAACGGTAGTCCAAGCCTCCCTGCCTTCTCACTCCCGCCCCGCTCGCTGCCACTCTCCTCCCCCCTCTCGCTCCCCCGCTCGCTGCCCTTGTCGCTCCCCATCTCCTCGTCGTCCTCATCATCCGAATCATCCATGAGAACAGCAGCCGACATGCCCAGGGACAGCGGCTCCGATTGGGGGATCATGCTGCGACCCCTCCCTGCCATCGCCCCTGCCCTCGCCGCCCTCTGCACCGCGTCTGCTAACGAGCCCCCACTGAACCCACCCGCACCAGCACCACCAGCAGCACCAGCAGCACCAGCAGCGGCGGCGACAGCAGCGGCGGCAGCAGAACCGGCGGCACCAGCAGCAGTGGTGGGGAAATCAGCCTCGCCGTAGTAACCGCCAGTGCCGAGCAGGGGAGCGCCGGAACCGACAGCAAAGGTGCCCGAGCAGGTGCCAGCAGCCATGAGGGCCTCGAGATTGGAAAACGAGCTCTGCCTCTGCAGCCGCGCCCGCAACAACTCCCCACTAGCAGCACCACCACAAGCTGCGCCAGCGGCAGCAGCTGCACCAGCGCCAGCGCCAGCACCAGCGCTACTGTGGCTTCCAAAGCTGCCACTAAGGGAGAACCCTCTAGCGCGGTTAAAGAAGTGGTGGCTGCTGCCGACGCTGCTGCTGCTGCTGTCGTCGCCGTCCGAGCCGTCCGCTCCTCCTGCCCTGCCGCGGCGGGCAGCGCTGGGGCTGAGCATGCGGCGCACAAAGGCAGCGCGCATGGAGGCAGAGGGGATGCGGCGCTTGATGGAGCGCGAGGCGAACGACGCCGACACGTTGAACGGGCGGAAGTGGATGCGCGGGGACGGGGGCTGCACGCGAGGATCACTCCCTGCCGCCCCTGCTGCTGTTCCCACTGCTGCTGCGCCGCCGCCTCCTGCTGCTGATGGGCCTGATGCGAGTGTGGCGGAGTACGCCACGGCTGCTGCAGTGGATGGGGAGCAGGCAGCTGGCGGCGACGGCGGCAGCCCCGGCCGATACACCTCCGCACGGTGGGAAACTCCTTGAAGAGAATTCAGATTTCCTTGCAGGGAAGAACTCGCCTGGTGGTGGGGATTCCCTGATTGTGGGTCAGTGGTAGTATCAGTGGGGGAGGCTGTACGAGGGGAGAAGAGGCGGGGGGTGAAGCCGCGAGGGGAGAGAGGCGGCAGGCCCTTGCGGGACGGCGACGGGCCTCTGCTGCCGTTGAAGCTGTGGAGCGCTGAGGGCGCACCGAGGCCGTTGATCAGGAGGAGGGTTTCGATGGACGGTGCAGATGCGTTGAGGTGGCCTTGGAGTGTGATGAGCTTGTCAGCCTTGGGAATGAGCAGCGTGCAGGTGGAAGGGAGGAGGTCCAGGGGGAAGTCCATGATGGGCGCGGGCTCGTGCTTGCGGAATAGGCGCCGACTGCAGGAGGTGTGAAAGGGGGGGTGCAGCAAAAGGACATGTTACAAAGTTAAACATGACTCGTCTAGTCTAGGAGACAGCATGAGAAAATCCGCGAGAAAGAGAGAGAATCCACGCACCTGGCCTTCTTAGGCGGCGGCGTGTTGCTGATGTACAGCCGCTGAGCCTTGAACTTGACGGCAGCGATGCACAGCCCTCGCTCCCACGCCTCCGCTGCCTCTGTGTGCATCGTGATGGCAGGACGTGCCTGAGGGGTGAGGCGGAAGCAAAGGGAGGAGCACACAAGCACAGTAGTGGCTCGTGAATCGACTGAGGAGTCACCTCTGCCACCTCTGCAACACAAACATCATCGTGATGGCGGCACGCGCTCGCGCTGGTTAAGACGGACGCAGACAGTGGAGAGGGACACAGCACAGCAGCGGTGGGGAGTGGGGAACGGATGAGATACGAATCGTGAAAAACGATTGCTGAAAGAAAAACACATGAAAGAACCCAATAACGAGGCTGTGTAAGCAAGGGCAGTAGCACATCAGCTGTTGACACGTTCCTGTTCTCAGGAAAGTAGGGAGGGAGGGGAGGGGAAGGGGGTGCGGAGGGGAAGGAGGGAGGGGAGGGGAAGGGGGTGCGGAGGGGAAGGAGGGAGGGGAGGGGAAGGAGGCGCATAACAAATTAGCAGCTTACCGAGGGCGAGGCAAGGTCTGCAGCGCTCTGCTTGCGACCGGAGGTGGGGTAGACCTCGTCCTCCTCGCCCTGCGTCGCCTGCGCCTGCAGCTGCCGCGCGAACGACATCTTCCCCGCCATGCCGTGCGCTGGTGAGGCACTCCCGCTCATGCCTGGTCGTGGGGAACAATCAGCGAAAGACGAGGAGGAGAGGGGGGGTCGGGGGAGAAAGGGGCATGGGAGGAGGGGAGGACTGAGTCATGCAGGAGTGAATGAGTTTTGGGGCATAGGTCTTGCAAGGAAAGACAGACGCCGGGGGAGAGACTTGGCGAGAGGTTAGGATGTGACTTGGCCCGTGGAAGTAAGTGGAGTGGAAGGATTAGCACCGAGAGAAATGAATTGGGGGGAAGCGGGTGACAAGGTGGAGGAGGGGCGTACCAGCAGTGACTGTAACGAGTACAAGCTGTACTCTTCCTTTGTGGCTCTTGGCATCGAGGTTAGCGCGAGCGAGAGCGCCAATGGCGGATTCGATGCTCTTGCTGATATCCACCAGCCACACGGCGCTTGGCTCCGGCATCTTCGTTATAAGTCGCTGTGGCTCTCCCACCGAGAAACTCCAGTGAATGTTCGTCGAAAGACGGATCTGGTGAAGATTTATTTGTTAAGAAAACCTGGTAATCGACTATCGGCTCGTGATGACCAAGGGGGCTTGGAACGAACCTAGCGAATGGCAATACTATCACCAGGCTGCATGTGACAGCAGTAGAAATGAAGCTCCTCTCTCGGAACTGCCTTGGTTTATCTCTCGACAGATCCTGATCCTGACAATATCTCTGCTGATTTAGCTTTTCTGCTCGTTGTAGCAGCATCGCCGTGGGGCTAATAGCTGCTCGGAAAAGCGCAAGCCCAGGCGTTGAAGGCACCATGGCGGCTGAATCAGCAGATAAGACATACACCGTTAATTTGGCAACGCTTTCCTGGTCGTTACTCCTGGATCGCACCGTTTGATGGTTGCCAGTCGGCTGCTTGCGGGTTGTTCCAAAGGCAGCTGTTTCAATTTAGAGCGACAGGAAATATCTGCGAATGGGATTTCCTGGACTATTCGCGTTGGCTCCCTCAGTAAGCAGCCTAACAATCTCCACCGTCCGATCTGTATCTGTTCCGACAAGAACGCAACCATACATTCCATTACAAGGGAGAATGCGCTGTACTGTCCATTCATCGATGGATCTACAGTAAACTTCCTGCAAATGCGCCCAAGGCGTTCTCGTCAGGCAGCCACACCGAAAGCAATGAAAGCTTTCAGCCGGTGGCGATTCGTCTGACCAGGCGCACTGATGGCAGAGCTGCGGTCTAGCGATGGGCATCCTACAGATGGCATCCACAGTGCTCTACTCTGCGGGAACTGGAAAGGGTGCTTCGGTACTGTTGAAGGACAAAAACCTACGACCGAGATCCTCATCGCAAGAAATAAGCTGCATCTCCACCGTCGATTGTACCGCTGAAGCCGGACAATACCTAGGAATGCGATGGGTCTGCTGGCTAACAAAAAGCGGTTGCGATTGCCGCGGAACGCCATCGCTACGATTGTCAAAATGCTGCGTGAGACAGGGCGAAGGGGAGGTGAGGTGAGCAGGCAGACCGCTGCTGAGCAAGCAGGGAGCAGTTGGGAGTTGCGGTGGTGGAACTTGGTTGATACCTAGTGGCGTGGCGGGATTGAACTCGGCTGGCTGTGACTCTTGCAATTGCAATTGCAATTCACAGGGCGCGTGAACTCACCTGTGTGTGTGTCCCTTCAGTTCACGCGCGACTCTCAAGTCATATGGGGCGCCTGGCACCCAACTGGTTCACGTCAGGGGTGCTCTCTATCGTACTGGTGGTGTTGTTCTGCAGGCATCACGGAGGGAAGGGGAGGGAAAACAGGAAGCTGCCTGCCTCTGCAATTTTAGGTTCTTAAACGCGGTCAGCCCGGAAAATGCCGACGTGGCAGTCATTTCCCTTCCGAACCTAAGCGAAGGGAAATGCCTGCAGAACAGTCATTTCCCTAGAGGGAAATGCACCCACAAGAAGGTTCCTATTTCCCCCTCTCCACCTTCCTCCACGGGCAAATTTATTTGCCTCCGCCCCGCCATCGGCCACCCACCCTTCACAGGGAAGTGCGACGGTGAAGGGAGGGAGGAGTTGGGCTTGGGAACACCAGCCTCAACCCAAGAAAAAAACCTGCCACAACACGGTCTACCCCAACCAGGGTGGCACCTCCCAAATCGGAAAAAAAAAACACCCCAACCACCTCGTCGCCACCAAAGTGAAAACTCTAGCCACCCTCTCACAACTCCATTCGCTACTCTACCCTAGCGCACCGAAGTACCCCCGTACAGTAAATACTGGACTCGATTTACCCCTCTAATGGCCGAGCGAAATTCAGAGCGCAGTTCGTCATTTCCCTTGGTAAGCTTCCTCCCCACCATGCGAAGTTTCCCATCTCGCATGTTTGCTCAGAGGGGGGAAATCGACCTCGGAACCCTCCTCAGAACCCTCCTCATTTCCCTTCGCCCTCCCTTCTCCCCTAGTCGACAGGTGCCTGCAGAACTACACCACTATGGCGGTGTTCGCCAGCACATGTAAATTTGAAAGAAAATTGACGGCATCGGAATGGCAACCGCATCAGGAACCCAGGGCGGAACCCACAGAAGAGGTTTGGGCGAAATGCTACTCGCGAAACTTCGGGTCCCGAAATGGGAAATGACGCAAACGCATCTGGAACCTCCATTCCCACCTTCCCCCCTCTGGTTGAGGTTCCCCTCTGATCTGCAATGCCATCGCCATGCCATCGCCATTCACCGTGAAAGGGTGAATGGCGATGGAATGGCATGGGGCGGGATATTTGCCCGGGGACGAAATTGCGTCCCCATTTCCAGATGCCGTTATGCCGTTCGAAATGGAGGAAGTTTGGGGGCGTTCGCCAGGCCCTCAATTTTCCGTTTGGTTCGGATGGCATAAGAGGTTCGGCCGGATTTTTATGGGCTGACCATGCTGACAGAGCTTAACGAACCCTATCTAATGGGATCGGGAAGGCGTGACTGACCTTCCTCATCCCGTCGTTTTTGCTTTCAAAAGTGCTGGCGAACTCCGCCTATGCCACGCACAACACCGCTTCTTTTCCAATTCATGACCTCATAGTGCATACCTCCTTGGCTCGGTTCAATTGTAACTGTAACATGTATACCTTATAGATGTAGTATATGATAAATGCAGATGTTACTCAAATCGTGAAGCTCTAAAAGGATCCTTATAGATTATTTCTCAGCATGTATTTGCTTTTGGCACGTGTTCTCGGTAGAATAAATGTGTGACTATTCAAAGGAAGGGTTACTGTAACTTTCATCCAATGCATTCACACTTCCCATTTTCGTATTGATAATACCATATTCTATTTGTCAATCTCTAGTAAAAACCCTCCTAGGAATGTCTTAGAATCTCGAACCTAAGAGAACCAATACTAAAACCCCAACAAAAATCTTTCTCCAAGGGCATCTACAGTCGCGTGTCGACCAACTATGGCGCGTCCACCCATGGTGCTCCCTCCCCAAACTCCTGCTTCCCACCCCCTCGCTCTACCCACTCCGCCTCGAACTGATCCAACATGTATGCCGCTCGCAAAAGTATCATCCGAGCCTGTGCCTTCTGCAAAGCTACCCCCACTGTGGCTGTCAAGGACCCTACCAAATATTCCGAGAAACCCGAGCTGTTGAAATGTAAAAAAAACAATAACGGCGACTCGGGGAGGCTGTCAAGATAGGTAGTTAGGCTTAGAACTTAGGAGATGGGAGAAGCGAGAGGTTTGGCCAAAGAAGAGGGGTTGCACTATAGAAACAACAGTACATATTGGCAAGAGCTAGGAGTGCACCACCAACAAAGTTACTTTAGCTACACTAGAACACACATCAAGCAGAGTATATAACACAACTTAACACACCCCCTTAACCTGCTTGCCGTGATAACTAGTACAGGTACACGTGGCGCAGCGGAAGAGGGTAGAGAGGAAAGTGAGGAGGAGGAGGCGAGAGAAAGAGAGAGAGAGAGAGAGAGAGAGAGAGAGAGAGAGAGAGAGAGAGAGAGAGAGAGAGAGAGAGAGAGAGAGAGAGAGAGAGAGAGAGAGAGAGAGGGGCCTTGCATGAGCGTGACAACTCACTGCCCGGGGTACCACCCTCGATTTTCCGCGGGTCCACGTGTACGCCCTCCGCACTCACCATGTGCCTGAGAAACTGCACCTTCTTCAGGGCGAAGTCGCTTTTTGACAGCTTCATGTAAAACTATTTTTTTCTGCAGGATCTCAAAGACTTTCCATAGATGCTCCAAGTGATCCTTCATATTTTTGGAGTAGATGAGAATGTCGCCCATGTACACCACCATGCATTCGTCCAACAGGGGCCGTAGGATGTGATTCTCCGCCCGGAACGTCGCTGGTACGTTGCAGAGTCCGGACGGCATCACTAAGTACTCGTAGGAGCCGTATCTGGTACGGAACGCCGTTTTGCGGATCGAGATGTCTGCCATCTTGATCTGGCAGTAACCCTACCGTAGGTCCAACTTCAAAAAGACTGTTGCACCACGCAGTTGGTCTAGAAGATCGTCTATGCGCGGTATGGGGTATTTGTTTTTTACTGTCTGTTTGTTCAGTGCGCGGTAGTCGATGCACATCCGTAAACTGCCGTCTGGTTTTGGAGTGAAGAGAACTGGTGCACCGTAGGGAGAGGTGGATGGGCGGATCAGTTGTCTGTCTAGTAGGTACTCTACCTGTTTCTTCATGTCTGTCAGTTTGGTCAGATTAACTCGGTATGGTGCACAGGAGACGGGTTTCGCACCTAGTTCCTCCACGATCTCGTGCTCGTGAGTGTGTGCTGGAGGTACGCCTACAGGTAGGTCAGCTGGCATAATATCTTTGTACTGCTCCAACACCTCCTTCACTTCTGCACGTAGCTCTGAGTTTGGCTTCTCCTCCTCTGCTGCTGCCATCACCAGTGCTAAGTAACCCGTGTTACTCTCGTTCACTATCCGTTTGAATCGTGCCAGTGTCATTTTAGGAACGTCCCCTGTATCCGCCCAGCTTCTCAGCTCCACACGTTTCCCGTTGTTGTAGATGCACGCCTTCCTGTTGACTTAGTCGATCTCGGGGTTGAACCGCTTCAGAAAATCTCGCCCCACGATGACATCTAACCCTTTGATGTTCGTGATCGGCAACGTCAGCTTCCATCTCAACGCACCTATGTGCAGATGGAGTGATGCTTCGATGTGGATGGGAAGCTTTGTACCGTCCAACATTATTGCTGAAAATCGGGTCTCCTCCGCCTTCTCTAACGTCCCGCGGTCACACACCGATTGGGACGCACCGCTGTCCACCAGTGCCTGGAGGCGTCGCCCTTTGCAGAGAAACTTGAGCAGTAGTGGCTGTTGCTGCTCCGAGAAGCCGTAGATGGTCTCGCTTACAGGATCATAGGGTACGTCGAATAGATCATCCCTAGGTCCTGCGCTCGAAGCTGCTGACTCAATATCAGTTTTCAACTGAGCAGGGTTAGA